GGGGCACCAGATGATCCTGCGGAAGTGGTTCAGTGGAGTGCCCTCTGGCTGGCGGATGTGGACCAAGATCTCCTCTCTGAGCAGGGTGTTAAGGGCTAGTCGGAGGGATGATGCGGTGGGTCTGACAGACCCAGCTCCACCCACTTTTCTCCAGTCCCCCATCCCACCCTGGGAAAGGATACTGAATTTTGCCATTAATCAGGGCCAAGCGCCATACAAACAGGTTGCCTGCCTCATCCAGGCAGGCCAGCTGTGGGGAATTGACATGTGCAAAGGCCAGATCAGCCACGCTGCCTGTGAAGCCTTTGAGCAGGGTCCGCTCTGAAGTGCTGACACTGATCACTCGCACCATTGCTGAGCCGTTGTTGGCAGCTGGAATCAGGAGAGTGGTAGTCTGTGAATAAGTACTCAGGACCAGGTGGCAACAGAGAGGCCCTGCCCTTGCCTGCCTCTCTGCCATTACCAGTCTGAGGCTCAGTTTTCTCACTGGGCTCCAGAGGGTTGGGCAGAACTGGGGGCATCGCAGACGAGCTTGCCATCATACCTCTACAGTCTGAGGGGGCTGAGTGACCCAACTGCAGAGCATCCCCTCTGGGACTTCAAGCAGAACACCTTCCTCCTCTGTACTGCTCCTACTCACCCCTTATAGCATAGGCCAAGAAAGAGTTGGACACAGCAATCAAGTTGCCATAGTAGTATTTCTGCTCCCAGTCATACTTGGCGACAGGCTGAATTTTCACCTGAGAACCAACAGTGAGGAAGGTCACAGAAGTCAAGGGCTGGGGCGGCTTTCCTGGAGCTGAAGTAGCCCCCAGAATGCCTGGGAACAGGAGAGGCCATATGTGCAAGCCCAGCCACCCATGCACAACTCTTGGGGTCAGATTCCCACAAAGACTTGGCAGCCAACACTGGCTTCCTGAGACTGGGGTACACTATCTGTCTGTTAGGATAGTCCCCATAGGAACTGGCAGCATGGAATAGGGGAGGGACAGCCTAACTGTGCCCCAGCCATTATGCATGCCACAACATCTTGGTGCCCACCTTGTTGCTCCCCCGTGCCTTGCTCGAGATGCTAGAGTCACTGCTGGCCACAATCTCCACCTCCTTGGCCAAAATTCCGATGCCAGTGGAACTGTCATCTCCTAACAGGCAGCTGGAGGGAGGGGTGCACAAGCGTGATTCTTGTTCACCCGAAGTCTCAATGGGCAGGGTTGAGGGGAGAGGATGCAGCCACTCTGGTGAAAGTGTCAAGCCCCAGATGCCCTGCTCTGCCTGATTCACTGGTCCCCAAATCCATAGCTTCTCTTGCTCACCTCCCTCCTTGGGAATGGTCCTACTTCCATGCTAAACCAGGAGCCCAAATTTCAGATTGAGGCCAAGCCCTTGTCCGTGGCCCTCATCCAAGTGGAGCATTCTACCCCAGGCCGTCTTCGGGGAAGCAGCAGAGACTGCCGGACCCTCTTCGCCCACCTTATGCCTTTAGTTAGCAAATGCCTCAAAGACCCCATCACCACCACTACCATCTCCCAAACACTCACATGACCTGCTTTTCCTGCAGGTTAATAGGTGGCATGGCTCGGAGACCAGGCTTGTTTGTTGAAGCACTGTCACCTGAGCAGAGGGGGTCTGGGACCAGGAGCCCATTGAGATCTCCATTGTAGGCATTAGATGGTCGCTGGTTCTCTGCACTGGGGCCTAGGGGCAGAAAGGGCCACTCTGATGAGTTTGTTCCACCTGCCCACTGGCCTCTCCTTCTGCAGGGTTCCATTCAAGAATCATAAGGTGCTCTAGGAACACTCAACAAGGCATGTCAGTGGGGAGGAGGGCCCTTTATTCAATTCATTCTATAAGCACTGATGGTGAACCCAGTGTATGCTAGGACCAAGGATGAGCATGAGGCTCTTCTACCTGGGGGAGGGGTGTAAGTCATCAAGAACCCTCTGCAGCCAGTTAATATTCAGGCCTGGGTCAGTACAGAGGACTCTGTGTACTTGAAGAAGGGCAGAGGAATAGTCAGGACAGACTTTACACTAGTAGTGTGGCTGGAACACACAAACATGGGAAGGACGGAGGGAAAACAAGGCTGCAGAGGTCTCAGGAATGAGGCTGGGTGCTTTGCTTTTCCCTGTGGTAATGAGAGCCACAAAAGAGTTTTGAATGGGAAGGTGACATGATCTGCTGTGGCCAGAGGACTGACTGTTCTAAAGTGACATGTAAGATAGTTGAGAATCCAGGTAAGAGATATCAGGACCTGGACCAAAGTAGTGGAGGCGCTGGGGAAGAGAGGATGGGCTCCTAAGGCATGGAAAGACATGATTAAGATGTGGAAGAAAGAAAGGAAGGAGACTGCCTCACACAGAATGGGCTCAGAAGAAACCACTATGGACGTGAAGGAGCTGGCCAAAGAGGAGAGAAATTATGGGGTAGGGTGTATGAGAAGGACAAATAGCATTTCAGTTGTTTACCACTGGCTTTACCATTAGCTGTATTTCAAGCAGTCTCATAGGCTCAAACACTACTCCAAAACTCCCAGGGTGGCTAGGAGACTAGGGGTTCATATTTAGGAATCAGACAAGTTTCTAGTCACAAAACAGCCTGGGGTCTCACACTGTCCTCCAGGAAGAGGAGACAAGCAAGTACTACTTGGCAAACAGGGGAATCAAGTATCAATCCAAGAGGAAAAACTACAGGCCACCTCACCTGCATCAGAGTGAGTGATGCTCAGAGGTAAGGTGACCACTTTCCCTTCCAGGGAGGCTAGTATGAGAACAAACAAGCTACATGTTACCCATGCCAGGCTCCATCAAACCTTTGTGGCAGTTAATAAGCATGAGAGGGTCACGCCAAGCCCGAAAGTCAAGGGAGCACACACTCTAGGCCTGGGGGAAAGGGCTTGATGGTTTCAGGCAGCAGGTGGATTTTCTCAAAGATTAGAGATTAGCTGAACCCAGCAATGAGGACCCGTGCCTGTGTCCATAAGGAGCCAGTTTGGGCTTTCCAGCAGGTTTAACAACAGGGTCTGAGGAAACACAATCCTCAGCTTTGACTGCTGCGCATCCACACCACCATCACAAGCTAGTCTCTCGACCACTACAACTTTTCACAGGTCTGTGAATCTGCCATGAAACTTTGGTACCTTCACACATGCTATTTCCTCTCTGTAGAAGGTCTTTCCTGACACCCCAGTCCCTCTCCGTATTGTAAGTCCTGGCCTAAATACTGCTCTTCTCTGAGCTGTTCTCAGGCATTGACGAGCCCCTAGCCCACCTACCCCGTCCTCCTCATAGAACCAAAACACTTCTCTTTCTCAATGGGAAGAACATTATATTACACCTCATTAACTCTGTGGCCTAGGAGCTCATTGAGGGCAGGAGAAGCTCTGGAGGTACCACAGCAAACCCAGGTAAATTTGAAATGAATGGAAATTAACTGCCGCTTGCAAATGTTTGCAGCCTGATCCAATCAGCACTGTGCAAACTGTGATTTGCCTGAATCCCAGAGAGCACACAGAAACTGGTTGGTCACCTTCCTCCAGAAAATTAGTCTTAAAATCGCAGGCCTAGAGTCTGCATTCCAGAAGGAAGGGCAAGTTGCTGTGCTCCTCAGCACAGCGTTTAGTTCTAGACCCAGAACTCGGTGTACAGGGCCCAGATTAGGCCTCTGAACTATGTTATGGTAAAAGGGTAGGGAACCCGGGCCAGTCGCAGGAACATCAGAGACGTTGTGCCAGGACATCTGGTGGGCTTTGCGGATTCAGAGAAGAGCCCTCACCTTCAGCCGAGGTGATGAAGGACAGGGCAGAGCGGCACGGCTCCGGGATGGGGAAGGATCGCATCCTGGGGTCTGCGCGCTTGGGTAAGCACGCTCCTCCGACCCTTCGACCCTCATCTGCCCACACCAGATGGAAGGATGCGGAGCTGGTCCTGAGGGACCCCAGGGCCATGAAGGCAGCCAAGGCCCGCGCCATCCTTCTGCCCGCTCATGGGGGCCACCCCCACTGGCCCGGCTCACCTCCCGCCGGCCGGTCCAGCTTGAGGATGTCCCGCAGGTGCTGCGTGGCGTCCTCGATGTCGATGCTCGCGCAAGAGGAGGCCATGGGCCCAGCCACCGGCGCCTGGGTCCGCGCCGCGTTCGTTTCACTGCCGCCGCGCACCGTCCAGCTGGGCACAACCCCGCCAGAGCCAAACAGTGGGACGCCGGTCACTATACTCGATCCACCCGAAGCTCACAAACCGCCGCCCGCGCTGCGTCCCTGAGCCCCGCCAACCCCACCAACCGCCTCCACTTCCGGCCCGCCCGAGTTTCAGCTCCCGGAACCTGAGCCGGGCGGAGAAGAAAGGTTCCGGGCTCGTGAGGAGGACGCTTTGCTCCTCCAGAAAGCCAGCCCCTGCGCTAGTAGGGTCGGGGGAGTTCCTTGGGGCTGAGGCAGAGCAGATGTCCACCTTCTGGGCCGCCCTAAACCCTACTTGCTTCACAATATCCCGCCCAGTCCATGTCCGCTCCCAGAGCATGGACTCATGATGGGCCTAGATCGGGTCAACTCTGTTGCCTAAGCCGAATCCCTCACATACTCTAGGAACAAGCTGAATTGGCAAGTTTAGGTTTCTACTTTAGGAAGTGGGTCAGTGTAACCCAAGGGCCTGAGCGGGCGAGCGTGCTGTCGCATCCGACTCTTTACGACGCCATGGACTATAGCCCGCCAGGCTCCTCTGTCCATGGGATTTCCCAGGCAAGAATTCTGGAGCGGGTTGCCATTCCCTTCTCCAGGGGGAATCATCTAGACCCAGGGATCAAACCTGTCTCCTGCATCTACCTGCATTGGCAGGCGGATTCTTTACCACTGAGCCACCTGGAAAGGTCTGAAGGGACCTGTGAATTCATGGACCCAGGAATTGCAAGGGCAGAGATGGTCCCACCACAAACATCACCTTGTTCCCTAAGGTCTCCCAGCATCCCCCTGCATAACCTTGCACCATCAGGCAAAAAGAAAGAAACCATGGTTTACAAACACTTCTTTATTGCAGACATTTCAGGCACAGGTACATGGAAAAGCTGTATTGCAAATTTTATACAGGGTGGTTTAAGAGGCAGCAGGTTTCTACCTCTCTCCCCAACCTCTATCCCCCAAATACAGAGCAGCCAAGAAACTAGTCCCACTGAAACCTCTCGAGTAAGCTGTTATTTCAAACAGCACACCATCCAGCCCAGTGCCCAGTGTAGCTAGGCTACCAGTGGGGGTCTAAGGAAGTCCTTGGCTGCCATCCAGAGTGCAGGAGGGAAGGGGGGCTGTGCATGTCAGGCAAAGCTGTGGTGCCCTCACCAATACTAAACCCCCAAACAGGACACCAGACCAAATCCTGGGTTTGGTTCTGGCCTGTGGTTGCTACCTTGCCATCAGTTTTACACCACCAAAATCTCACAGCTAAAGGGCTGGATTTGTATTGATACTAGGCAAAGTCTGTCCCCAAAACTAAGGAGGAGAAACTGCCCCAACAGCTGAGATTTCCTGGGATTTGAGGATAGTAGTGTGAGGTTGTGTTTGTGGTCAGGGAGGGAATAGAAGGCCTAGAGATGCCTTGCAGAGGTCTCGGGCATGAGAAATCCTACAACCTGAATCCCTCAAACTCAGAATGCTTTCTTTCATAGTTTTAAATCTATACTCCAACCCAAGCAGGCCTGGCTCTGTGGGCATTGGAGGCGGGCTGTTTGAGGCACTCCCATTCTGGCAGTGACATCCAAAGCAGATGGTACAGGGTAAGAGCTGCCCTCTACTTGGCCTGGGATTTACAGGGCATGCGGGATGTGACACTGACCCTTCTGTGGCTGGAACAGGTCCTTCTCCCTCAAATGCCCGCTCATACTTGGTCCTGCTGAGCCCTCAGTCCAGAGGGCCTGAACTTAATGGGTCATTCTTGCCAAGGCTTTTCAATCTCCGGTGGGATTCTGCATCATCTCACCTGTCATTAGAGCCCTGACCCTACCCAGTGTAGAGGTCACAGATGTCAGAACTGACTGCTGAGGCTTCAAGGGCATCTTCCGTTCAGACCTGAGCTCTCCCTGTCTGCAGCTCACTTTTCCAAGGCCAGGTGGAGGGAACACTATGCCCTACAGGGCTTCTAAGAGAAGCGAGTTCAGAGTGCTGCCTGAGCTCAGAATGCTGCTTCGGTGTTTTCTCCTTGCAACAGGTATTGCTGAGTGGGCGCAGAGGTGGGATGGTGAGACATGAGAGCGCCAATGAGGCAGGGTAATTATGGATGCCCAGCCCACTATTCAACTAATTCAAACAATTTAAACTGTTAAGAAAATTTTCGTGGTTTTATTGTATCATGAGGCATTGAAACATCTGAACAAATCAATATCTGGGCGGTGAGGCAGCTGCTTTCTCCTTCACTTCTTTGGGTTACTAGAGCAACTTGTCAGTAGATTAAAAAAAAAAAAGACAACCTTTTGCATTACTTAAGTCTTTCCAAGGCATGCGCTGGTACAACACAAACTTCTCCTGTCAGATGCAACTAGTCTAGCGTCCAAACATCATGCACAACACCTCGGTAGCAGCAGCGCACTGCGCCCACGCCCACCGTGGCCCTGCTCATTTGTGAATGATATTTGGAGCATCTGGAGGAGTGTGAATAGTATCGGGAAGAGGAGGGAGGAGGAAACAGCATGAGTGCCTGGCTGGGAGGAGGTCAGCCAAAGTTGTGCAGGGCAAGCCTGAACATGTCATTGGTGCAAACCCAAGCATCGTTGATGTTCTTTAATAGGAACATCTGGTGGAACCCCATGATGGGGTCTTCATCGGCCTGTGAGGAGAGAGAAAATGGTTCAGTTAAGTTGGCCAAGGAACAGGAAGGGTGTTCAGTTGGAGGAGAATGCTGACTTTGCAATCAGGTCCTTCTATCTTGGACACAAATCCTAAGAGACCCCGGGGTGCTCATGATTGTGAACTGACATAATGTATGTAACACTGAACTCGGCACAAAGGGAACTTGAGGTGGCAGCTCACACTGCTATGTACACTCAAACGGCAGAACAATTCACCAGTTAGCTACAGCAATATAGCAGAGAACATAGTGCCTCTGAGTCCATGTTTCTGGGCAAAAGTGACCAATCTGAAAGAGTTCTGTGGCGCTTATCATGTAACTCATGGTAGTCTAAAAACTAAACAGTCTTAGTGTCTGATTATGTTAGTCTAGCCATGAGAAGATACTACTAATAATGACTTTGTATATGAGAAAAGGCTCAAAACCAAGCTCACACCAATTACAGCTCTGCAGAGAAAAAAAAAAACTAATGCATCCCTATCAGGTAATCTGTTTCTTGTCACGTAACGTATAATATTTGCAACAAAAAAAGGGTGAGAGACCTCCAGCCAAACTGCAGAACACCCGGATGAGGCCTAGTTGCGGTAGAAGCCTAACCAACCAGCTGTGTTTCTAACATCACTGTTTTTTCCAGGAATTATCATCAGCAAGGAGGCAAATCAGTCTTCTGGGGGTTGGACAGAAACACCAGAAAGAATTTGAAGCCAGGTGGAAAGAGGCACTGCTTACTGACCTCAGCCTGGGAAAGTGTGCTCTGAGACCCTAGAAAAGACCTCCTTACTCCCAAGGCCTATCTGAGCACACTCTCTGGGCAGGGTATCTTGGACAGGCAGGAGAAACTGACAGGAAAAACCAGGCCAGAAGGCAGGTCCATCCAGGTCCAGTGGAGAGGCCTAGAGGGCCCCCCTCTCCCTCCACCCTTGTAATGGACTCAGGAAGCCCTGCCTAGCCTAGGGAGAAGGCATGTGGGTCTGATATTCTGGGGACCATGATGCCACATGCCCAGGAAGCTGGAACCTGGTTAAGGGGCAGCTCATCTGTCCTGCTTTGGGAAGGAGGAGAGGCTTTTTGGAAATCAAAAATCTGTCTTCAGTCTGTTAAGAGTTCAACAAGTAGGAGTTCCTGGAAGGGGGTGGGGTGGACGGGCAGAGGCACCAAAGGACCACAGGAAAGCTTTGAAGGTTAACAGGTCTTGAGAAGTGGAACTAGAAATGCAAAGAGAAGCAGGAGTTCCAAGAATCTGCTTTGTTCAGCAGGTGGAACAACCAGCAGCCAGCTTGGGGAGTGGTAGCATGGACTCCAGTTCAGGGTCAGCTGCCTGCAGAAGGCTCCCCTACAGCTTGGGGCAGTACAAAGGCCCAGAGGCTGGGATCACAGCCCTATCCTGTTCCTGGACCTCTTTGTCCCTTCTCCAAGAAGCCTCTATACCAGTGCTCTCCAATAGGACTTGCAGCAATAACAGAAATGTTTTAGGTTTGTGCTGTCCAATAGGCAGCCATGAATAACTCTGAGCACTTGAAATATGACTAATGCAACTGAGGAACTCCATTTTAATTTTATTTCATTTTACTTCATGCAATTTAAAAATCACCCCGTGTGGCTCATGGCTAGAGTACCAAGCTACAAAGCTCTAGGCATCACTTGTCTGGGTGTCCCTGAGGAGCAGGACAGTGGCGCTACAAGGCAGCAGTACCATTACCTTAAGCTGGCCCACAACCATGCTGATGATGCAGCTGTCTGGTGTGGGCTGATGGTCCTGCGCCGTGATGCTGTGCTGGATTTTCTGGAATGGAAGGCTCTGCAAGAGAAAAAATAGGTGGTGGGCTGTGGCCAGCAGGGTGGGGAAGGAGCTGCCTGCAGCCCAGCCCTGGCCCTTACTTACAGACAATTTCTCCACAATGGCAGCTTTCCCCTGGAATTGCTGTCCTTCCCACGTAAGGCATGATGCATCAATCTGAAAATCAGGAAATTTGGGGTCAGAGCTTCAGAGCAAAAGGAATATCTCTGAGGCCCTGAAAAGACCACAAAAAGGGTCCTGCTTGGGGAACATGAGTCCATGTCTGTTTCCCTGTCCGTAAAGAAGGGAAATGAGGGTAACTTCCAAACTTCAGACGATTAACAACTTTAACTACACCCCAGCATCACAGAGCCCAAGCTCTGAAAGACTATGTAACAAAATACAAACTTATTAACAAGTAAGCTCATCTCCCACTTTTTATCCAATAAGTTGCATAGCCTTTGATATGGATGAGCTCCAGGCTGGCCATATGTGGCCAAGGCTCAGGCAAAAACCGTCCTGTTGTGTGGGCAGTCAGCAACAGTCCCAGAATAATCATCAGAAATAACTTGGAAGAAAAATAGAAAGAAAGAAATAACTAGGAAACATCTATGTTCAACACCATCTCTAGAGCCCAGAGTCAGTTCCACAGAGGTTCTTCCCATGGGGTCAGGGAGGCAGGGCGGTTGACAAGGCCTCTCCTGGGACCTTCCCAACCATTAACGTGTAACCCGCAGCTTCACTGCCTCCCTGCCCCATCTTTCCTACCATAGCCTCCTGGGGCAGAGCTCAAAGGTGCCTCTACTACTTAGCAGCTCTGACATTAGGCAAACTAGTTTTTTATTTCCCCGCCCTGAATCTGTTTCCTGATGTTTAAAGGGAACACATGGTGAGCTTTACGTAAAACGACATACATAAAGTACTCCTTAAAGACCTTGCTAACTCTTCTCTGGGTCAGACCTGCTTTGATTTCAAAAGCAACAAGACGTAAGTGCCAAAGATCCCAGTCAGACCAGTTTGAGTTTTTAAACCGTCTACCTATGATGATGACAATCAATTACCTGGGCTGGATCTGGCCTTCCACTGCTAAGATCCCTTTCTTTTCTTCAAAATGTCTGAACTGGCCCTGACTTTTTGAGGGAGACAGAGGAGTCTGCCCACAGCCCATCAGGCTGCAAGTCTGTGTGTGATGACTCCTATCACTTCTATCCTGGGCCAACCTGCTAGGCATTGCTTGATTAATCACACTTCTGTCTTGGGCAGGGTCAAATACAAGTAACTCTTGGTGTATATGAACATCATTAACACAGCAGTAAAAAATGTCTACATAAAAGGGTTTCTCAAGAAACACCCCCCCCCCCAAAAAAAAGAAACACCCACCTCCCATGAGCATTCAGGGGCTTTTAGCTCTTCAAAGGACACTGGGCCTGGGGCCTCCAGGAGCGATCTGAGGTACACTGACAATTCTTACAGCTGCTGCCTCCAGGGGGCACCAGAAGCCCTAGCCTCTGTCGCCGCTGTCAGGTCTGGAGCAGAGGCACTCCCAGGAGCATGGAAGGGTGAGCCCATAAACTGCTGTCTGTGGTACAACTCATGTAGACCCACTAGATCACCTAAGAATGTCACTCATGCAGAAGATGACAGAAAGGCCCATGTGGCCTGGGGAGCTAGGCCTTAAGCCCCCTACCCTGTGGAGAGTAGCTCAGATAAAAGGGCTCAGCCAATCCAGTGAGAGGTGCCAGAACTTGTGAACTGGAGGCACTGGCCCCACATCTAAATTGATCCCCTGAAATCCTGTTTTGGTGCTAGAGCAGAAGACTTACATAAATTGCGCCTAGTTGAGTTCTGTCATTATCAAATAACTGGTAGTAATGTTGAATGAAGCTGGATCCAATCTGCTCCCAAATTGGCTTGTCTCCCATTCTGGAGCGTCACCCGGCCTCGTTGAGACCTGTAAGTCCAGCAAGACAGGGAGGGAAGCGTTGGTACCTTGGTACCGTGGAAGCAGCATGTAGCCTGTCAGTCTCTTCACTGACCCCCACCCGTCCCAGACCTCTTCGAGCAGGCAGTGCTGTGCTGAGGCTTGTTCTCCCGGAGAACAGAGAGGACCCAGGGAACTCAAGCAACCCCTCAACAGAGGCAAGTGCAAGATTAACATCACCACTAATAAGTGCTGATGTCATGTACCCTTTGATAAAAAAAAAAACAGAGGCAAGTGCAGGGAGCCCAGAGGTTGACAACTCAGACCCTCCTGGTGCCAGGATCATAGAGAAGGATGGGTCCTGAGGGTGGAGCCCGGACGAAGGAAGGTCAGAGCAAGTACTACAGAGGATGAGCTTCTGAGGAGGAGCTAAGCACTCTCCCCATTTCTTTTCATTTAATCCTCTCAACAGCCTGCACAGCCAGTTACTGCTATTCTTCCCACTTTGCAGGTCAGGAACTACTCATGCCTGTGAGTCAAGTGTCTTTGACTGCAGCACTCCGGCCCTTAATACTACCCCAGGTAGAAGACCCAGTGAGAGTAGGGAGAAATGGTTCCTCAGGGTCCCACTTGCAACAAAGATGGCAAGTGTCCCTCCCTCACTTTGTCTTAAGGGGGAAGTTTATTTCTTTGAGGCCACATGACATCATTTCATCACCGAGAGAGGTTTTATCTACCAACTGCAGAGCTGGGACCATGAGTTCAGAGGATCACAGATGACAACAGAAATGCTGGGAGGGCAAAGGAAGGTTGGGAGGGGAAAATGAGTCATGTCTCTACACCCCATCCCAGCACTGGCTCCATCAGAACGGCTGCCCCTCTTGGGTCTCCGAGCAAGAGGGGAGCCACACCCCCCCCCCCCCCCCCCCCTGCTACAGATATCAGGGATCCAAGGCTGCTAGATGAAAAATCCAAGCCCCAGACGAAAAAGCCACTCAGGCTTTGGTAGGCTCCTCCTGGATAGAGTGGAGTGCATCTCACTGCAGGATCCACAACAGCAGATCTGTTGTTCTATAGCTGTTTCTGACTGCACAGGAACCCATCCACTCTCCTAATAACAGGACTCTGAACCAAAGCTGTAGGGAGGTGGGTTTGACCGCGGCAGACAACCACTGGCAGTGGTGGGATCTGATGCAAGTCACTGCCGTCCTGAGGGCCTCAGCCCTCTTCTCTACAAGGGGGTGGAACCCTGCTGTTGCCAGTGGAGTCTCACTAAGGGAACCTAGTAAAGCTCTTGACTCAGTTTGGTGAGTGCTGGTCTGCTCTGGTCCCTATGACCTCACCCTAGGCCAGAGGAACCAGAGGAAGGACAGTGGAAGTGGGTAGTAGCTTATTCCCAATTCAGCCAATCTCCCAGCCTGTGACCAACGCGCCAGCCAATGAGGGGCCAGGAACCTGAGCCAGCTTTATTTTAGGTTCCCTAGGAGGTGGTGGCACTAAAAATAGCAGCACGGTGCTGGGATGACTAAATGTCCAGGAAAGTCTAAAAGAAGCAGAGGAGAAAGCTTGGGCCCAGCTACGCCTGCTTGGGACAAGGAGCGTCCCAGCTTGCTCTCTGCCAAGAAACAGAACAAGCGGGAAAAACACAGGATGCGCAGCTGCTCTGTCTTGGTCACATTTTCAAGGGGTCAGACTGTGACAGCACCGCATGCAAACTCGGGTCACTGGAGGCATGACAGAGCCCGGCATCGTGCATCTCTACCCCTTCTGCCAGACGACTCACTGAGCTTGGCTCACCCATCACAGCCCAACCCCACCACGTCACACTCCCAAGATGCCCTGCTGAGCCCCCCAAGGCCTCTGGGGCAGGGGAAACCTGGAGGAATGAACTAGGGCCATCTTGCACTGTTCTCAGCAGCCCTCAGGGCAGGTCTTGGAGTGTGCCAGTCAGGAGAAACAACATGAGCACGTGCCTGGGGACACAAGAAGAGATAAGGGCAGGAAACCGGGACGTGGGAGATGGAGGCTGAGGGGAAATAAGACCAGAAGCTATCCAAAGAAAAGTGGCGCCATGTGGTGGGACACTGAGGTGAAGGAAGTGAGGTGTTTTTTCCTTTCTCAACATTGTTCTTAATGGTGTGATAAGTTTCTAACACAAAAACGACTTGGCAGAAGCAGAGGTGGAGTAGAGGTTGGAGGGATAAAGGGACAGAAGAGCCCTTTGGCAGGGAGGAGGGGGCAGGGCAGAGGGAGCTCTCCTGAGGGACAGGACTGCTCAAAAAGGGTGAGCAGGAACCTTCAAAGCTGTGTGGATTGAAGACTTTGCTTTAGAGGTGTCGTCAAGTGGTGCCACTGAAGCCCACAGCAACCTTGTTCGAGGCTTGCTCGACCCTGATGTGTTTACCTCTGTGTAGTAATGATGTGGTCATGTGGTCGATTTCACTATCAGCCCACTTTACAGGTGGCAAAACCAAGGTTCAGCCTGTGGCCCCAACTTGCCCAGTACATCAGTGCTGATCATGAGTTCTCTGGTCAAGGCCACTGCTTATTTTCTGCTAATTTTGTGTCCTTGAGTTCTAAGCCACAAAGCTGGTGATGTCCCTCCCCTACAAACCCTTCACCCTTGGGTTCAAGGTCAAACACCTGAAGGCCCACAGGTGGCTATCCACACCTGTCCCTAACTCCTCAGCCCTTCTCTCCTGCCTTGATCCAGCACCACACTTAAACACACCGGAACTTGAGAGTGTTTGCTCCTGGGGTTTTTGCACAGGTGAGTCCTCCCACTGGGATGCCTGCCCTCCCCTCATGTCACCATTCAGATACCTCCCATCTGGGTCTTCTTTTGCAGACTCAACTGTTGACCCTCAACCCCAAGTGCAAGCCTGGATGAGCACACCCAGGGCCTACTCCACTGTGGCTCTGGGCTGTGAGGGTTCCCACACAGCCCAGATGTGGTTCGTGCCACATCCCATCCCACCCCCCCTCAATCTCCCAGCACAGAGTCCAACAAACTATGGGACTTCCAGTTTCTGACTCCACATCTTCCACAAAGCTTTCACCCTATAGGTGGGAGGTGGTATTCTTGAACCTAGAAAAAGCAGCAGGGTGCGGGGGCCACCTCCCATCCCCATGGGACAACAGGGGAGCGGTGAGCTGGGCTGGGGGTTCCCCAGGATGGCCAGCCAGCCCCGGCCTTGCTTCTAATATATTTACTGTGGAAAGAATAGCCTGGAAAGAAACACAATGCCAAGGCTGACGGGCAGCTTCGCGTGAGACTGGGGACTGACCTTCATGACAGCTTCTCCTACAGCTCTTCCGAGAGGGCTGCTGCCCACTGCTTCCTGCTTCACTCAGGCTGACTGAGGCCAGGCTCCTCGAGGAGCAGAAATGATCTCGGTGACCTCTCACCCACTGAGCGTCAGCCTTCACTGACCCTCAGGTCTCTGTGGGTGCAAAGACTCTCTAAGAATGTCTCATACACTGCGGCCCGCTCCCAATCAATCCACACAGAGGCAGAGATGCCCCAGTCTTGTCAATGACTTCAAGTCGTTCATACTCCCTGAGGCTATCATACACATCAGATTAAAAGCTCTGGCCCAGGAGATCCCGCTGGGTAACAGAAAAAAAAAAAAAACCCTTTCATTTTGCTCCTCAAATTCTGGGTCAGTGTTTCCAGTATTTTGAAACCTGAAACAGTAGTGTCCAGCTGATGTCTCATTTTCACTAATGCATATTCAATGTAGAAATGCGCTCATGGCTTTACATGCATTTTGTTTTAACACCCTGTGAGTCAACTCCCATGCTAGAGATGAGCAAAACAAGGCCCAGCAAGGTCAGCTAAATTTGCTCAAGGTCACAAGCCTAATAAAAGGTGGAAATGGATGGAACCAGGCTTAGTGGGCTCCAGGACCAAGACTTCCAGTGACAACTGGTCTGGAGATAAAAACGAATGACACATAGGGCTGAAGCCCTGATCTCTAACCTTGGCTTTTTTCTGAAAGGGGCAAGACAGGCTTGAACCAGGGCTTCTGCCTCCAAACAAAGGCACCAGGCAGACTGCCACACTAAACAATGGACGTTTTCATGGGGGATGATCTCACGCTTTTCCTAAACCTTCAAAGTCACAACCCCATTCCGCCATCTCAGCGAAGCAGAGATAACTGTGGGCCTAGCTGGATCTGGGGCAGGACTGGGGTCAGGAGAGTGATGAGAAAGAGGAAGAGGACATTCATTACTAACTCTACACTTTGAAACAGAAGGACATTCATGTTGGACGGCCTATCACTGAGGCCCACAGGGAACACCAGATGTGCAAGCTTACAGTGGGATCCTTGAACTCAGTACCAACTCAGCACTAGAACCTTCACACCTCCTGCCTGCTAGGCCTCAAGAGCCCTGAGGCAGAGGGGGAAGGACTCCGACAGGTAAAACTGACAGACAACTTTGGCTTAAACCCAGAGCACGGGCGTGGACTAAACAGTGAGAGGGAAGGCTGTGGGCTGTAGCCAGAAGGGAAGACACTGACCTGAGGAGTGTGGCGTGTCCCTTGCAGCAGCCTCCCGTTCACCACTGATAAAACCCCAACCACTTACCCTCCTTCCAGGCCCCGCGTGCCCTGGCCTCCCAGCCATCCAACCTCATCTCCGGCCACCCACCCCTCCCCATCCTCTGCAGCCACTCTGGGCATCTTCCTATTTTTGGAACATCCTGAGCCTGTTCTCACTGGAGGGCTCTGCAACTGCTGATCCTTCTACTTGGATCGTCCTCCCTCCTAGATGTATCCAGATCCTCCTTCATATGGCTAGCTCCCCGTCACATGTGTGTCCACTCAAAGGTTACCTCCTCATAAACACCTTCCCTGACCATTCAGTCTAAAGTGGCCTCCCGGTTACTCATTGCATCGCCCTGCTTCATGTTCTTAGCACTCATCTCTGCATGAGATTATCACATATTTGTTAATGGTCCCTCTCCCTGACTGGAGCACCTCTGTCCCTGCCTGCAAGGTGCCTCACCTAGGCCCTCTTCTCTGGAGAAGTGTGTTCTGGGAAAACCCTGTTCAATGTAAGTGGCCAGGTGACCCACTTCACCTCCACCCACACCTTCTGTCCAATTTGTCAGGAAACAATCCTTTGCCTTCCACCCAGCCATCTGTCTGAGGTGTGTGTTAAGCGGTGCTTGGCCCCTCCCTCCCACCCCAATTCCCAAGGTTCTGATCACCTGAGAGACAACTGTGGCTGAAGAGGAGGCACAGGACCACACCGTCAAAGGCCTGGCCGCTAGCCTGCTTCTCCTCTCCCTCATGGCAGGACCCTCTGACCCCGTCTTCATCAGTAATTATGTCGATGTTAGGAGTAATCAACTGTGGATATAAGGCAGGACTCAGCTGGAAGGTACAAGGTGAACACTGGGTCAAGAGCTGGGAAGGAGGGTAATCTCAGCCTCCTGGAGGACACCACACTACGGAACAGCCTCATTGACCACTCACTTGCCGGCAGCTGGGAGAGAAATCAGCCAAGGTCTGCTGCCCCCAGCACACTAAGGGCCTTCTCCTCTTCTATTTGGAGAGGGCTCCAGAGGTTTCAGTTTGCCCTGGTTGGCCAAGAAGCTGAATCCTGAAATCGGCATTCTAGTCACTCTGCTCTGCCCATACTCAGTTCCTAAGAAGCCCCCTTTCCGAGGTGGTTCAGGGATCTCTGGGGCCCTGTTCTAGACAGTTCCCATCCATGACCTTGCTGCTTCATGTACCATCAGTCAAACCCCTGTAAACCAGTTATTAATACATGTGTTCTCTCATTCCAGCCTCTCAGCTCTGTAAAGCTGGTATGATTCCTGTAACTTTGTAGATGAAACCAAGACTCTTGAGAGGTTAAGAATTCAAACCATGCAAGGCCACTGGGGCATAGCCAGCATGAAAATGTCTACAAAACTGGCCTGGACTGGAACAGTTGAGAGCCTATGTCAAGCAGCAGGAAGCATAGATGGAAAAAGGAAGAATGGAGCCCAGGCCTTTTCTTCCCCTTTGAAATTGGCAAGCTCTATGCCCGTCAGAAGGGAAACTCTCTAAGTGCATGCTCCACCTGTCACAGTAGGTGTACAACCTACAAATGAGACCGTGCATTGACCTGGGCCTGAACCACCTCTGCAAGTGGAACCAATGTCTCTATACAGATGTCCTTCCAGGGGGCTGCAGTTTCTGCCCTGGAGAGACCCAGGGGCTCTGATGGAGTACCTGAGGCTTTAGGAAACAAACATTCCTGAATTCCTCGTTTTCTGAGGCAAACTACCCTCAGTTCCCAGGTTCCTTGGACACATCTCTCATGAGAGGAGGTTCTCCTTTACCAGGGTAGACCCTTCTCCAGCCTGAGTGCTTAAGGAGTCGGCATATAGCAGGTACCAGCAATAAACAAAGACCCAGGGTAATGCCAACCCTGGTACTCTGGTGTCCCTCTTCCCTGGCCACCTTCCTGAGTCACAGTCAGACCTGAACAAATGATTCCTCCCAGGAAGACACATTTCAGCTGACAGAGTGAGAATGGAGACGGTGCCACACAGACCTGGTGGTACGGGTGCTGACCAGCAGCATCAGTCACTCCTGGAGCCACTGCAAGGATAACCCGCATGCTAGCACGTCCCTCAGGAAGAGTCTTCAGGAACTCCTGCCACATGTGGTCAAAGCAAGAAATCACAAAATCTCAAAACTGGGGAAGGCACTGGTGTTCAGTTGCTAACTGGTGTCTGACTCTGCGATCCCACAGACCGCAGCACGCCAGGCTCCCCCGTCCTTCACTATCTCCAGGAGTGTATTCAAATTCATGTCTTTGAGTCTGTGATGCTGTCTAACCATCTCATTCTCTGCCGTTCCCTTCTCCTTCTACCCTCAATTTTTCCTAGCATCAGGGTCTTTTCCAATGAGTCGGCCCTTCACATCAGGTGGCCAAAGTACTGGAGCTTCAGCTTCATTCAGCATCAGTCCTTCCAATGAATATTTAGGATTGATTTCCTTTAGCACTGACTGGTTTGATCTCCTAGTAGTCCAAAGGACTCTCAAGTCTTCTCCATTACCACTCAAACCCAACCCTCCACACACATTCTCATGGCCCATCAGAAAAAAAAAAAATTACTAACTTCAAAAACAGGCCCATCAAGAGGTTCAGCTCAAGCTGTCCACAGAAATCCTGCCTAACATTCAACGTCCATCCTGTGGAGAACTTTTTGGATCCACTCCCCAATCTCCAAAAGGACTACTACTCCCTTTCACTTCTGGGGAGGGTGCCTCTGTTTCACTCTGGGAAGATGTCCTGATAGATATCATTCCAAGAGCACTGGGCACTTGAATAAGTGACCTGAAAGGGTCTCAGTCAAAGAGGTAGAAGGCACCAAGCCAGGTTCAGGCAGGGAAGGAGGTCATGGACCACAAAATGCTGGTGAGATTCTCACATACTGGGAGAACACCCAGCAGAGACCTCTGAGGGATGCTGGTGACAGAAGATCTATCTAGACTCAACAGCAATTTGGAGTGGTGACGGCCAAGTTGCTCAAGGGATCCCAGACCTTCCTGGGCCCAGCATGATGAGGGATACCTTGCTCCCTGGTTTCTTCAGGCACTGGAAACGAGAGGGGCTCACTAACAGCCTTTACTCTTCAGTGCTCTGTCACTCAGAAAGCACCCCCAACTTTGCAAAGGGCCAAGAGTCCCTTGTGGGTCTCTTCAACTTAGACTTCAATACATAATAGCAACAGTCTGTCTCCCTGACTACTGTGACCTCTTTTCCCCAGCACCGGGACTTGGTAGGAACTCATTATTCTACCTCCAGCTTCTGCCCAGAGCCTGACATACAGAAAGGGCCGCAAGAATGGTGGCTGAGTAAAATGCATCATTGGTGAGAGAAGAGAAAAAAACAACTTCAAGCGAGATACTAATGCCTCAGTAAAGGGATTCTGGAATTTTTTGATATAAGGTGCCTTCCAATCCTAAAATTTGAGCATTCTTTCACATAAATCATTCTTTCCATCCCAACCCACCAGTTGGAAAGTCAGAATAAAGTGAAACGTGGCTCAGAGAGGTGAGTTCCACGTCACCAAGGGACATAGTTTTGAGCTGGTTGAGAATCCAGTCTCCTCACAACCTGACCCTTTATTACGCAGCCATATCCTGACTGTCCCAGGCCAGGCCCCACCTCCGAAGTCAGCCGTGCAAGACTAGAGAGGGTGCATACTGATTGTGGACAACCTCGGTGTTCTCCTCTTATCTCTGAGCTCTGAGACACGGACAGCTTGCCAAATTCCGGAAAGGTCAAGGACTTATGGGGGTCAGGATGCATAGCAATGGCTAGATGATTGACCCCAGACACAGAAGTCATATGGAACTTAAGGTGTGGAACGAGAGGGAGGGACCTGAATCCCTCCTCCCAGGTAACCTATGAGAAAGAACAACAGCATTTTGACCTCAAAGAAAACTCTTGTGATCAAGTCACCTAGGGCTTTGGAATCTGTGAACTAATCCATAGCCATAAAGCCTAACTCACCTGACAACAGTGTCCTAGAAAGAAGCAACCCAGACAATCTCAAGAAGATCTTGAAACAACTGCTTATGGCATGAAGTCATCCAATCACACTGATCCTACTTGTGTCCTGTGGGTAGTCCCTCCTTGTTGCCCACGTCCACTGGCAAACCAGGCCTCTCCTGAGCTTGCTGAATGAAACTGACTAGTTCACGCTCGTAGGCTAGGATGTGGGCTAGGAGAAAGAGAAAGACAGAGAGAAAGCAGGCCTGGGTGAGACCTAGACAGATCCTTGCCTATCCTCCTTAACCATGGAAAATGCAACTGCAGGAAATATTCCAAGGATTGATTCAATGACCAGAAAAATACTACCTGAGAAAATAATCAAGAGAAAAAAAAAAAATCCAAGGGTGATGCATCATGGGCTTAACTCACCTCTCCTAAGAGACCTGCCTGCTGCTGAGGCCAGGTGTGCAAAGACTTGGCTGCTTCTTTAGTACCTGGGAGAACCGTGGCTCATTAGCTGCAGTGGGTCAGAAAATTCAAGGCTTGACAAACTGTCTTTTCCCCATATCCCATGGTCTTCTCTGGACTCGTCCCTTCATTTATCATCACACAGTCAGGAAGGGCCTTCAAAAAGCCAGCCTGAGGACCACTCTATGGCTAGCTACTCCCCTTACTCCAGAACTCGATGGAGACCCGGTGCTTTCATTAAAGGCAATTTCCCAAGGCCCAACCAGCTTTCTGCCTACTCAGAGGTTGCTCAGACATTTGAGAGTGAGCAAGCAAGAGAGGGGAAGCCTGACTTTCTGCAGTCTCCAGCCCTAGTTCTGCCACCCAGGCTTCAGAAGGGCCTCACAGCCCAAGTATGCACCTCCCTCAATGTCGCTTGCAGCCCAGCCTCGTTTGGCACCAGGTTCACCGACCTCAGACCTGGATTGTACCCTCCCCTCAAACTCCACCTTATTGTTACCATCCTCAAGGAATCATTCTCCTCTATGGGAGAAGAGCAGACGACTCTGGGAGCAGCAGATGGGAGGATTAGGCTGTACTGAAGATATCTAACAATGTGTTGGAGGCTCACATGTTCAGCTTCACCTCCATGGCTTCTTCCCTCCCTCTCTCCACTAACACAGGCGGCCAACCCACCCACGGCTGAGGTCTGGTCACTGATAGAAAGAAGGGCGGGGGCTGAGCCTACGAGTACGGAGCCGCCTAGTCTCCTCAGGCCAGATTCTCCTAGGCTGCCGGGGGTTAAGTCCCACGTGGAAGCCCCTCCCGCGCCAGATTCCCTGACCCTGCCCTCCACGCAGAAGAACCTACGCATGAGTTCCGGAGTGGGAGACAGGTTTCGTGCACTCTCAGCCGGCAAACAAGCAAGTGAGCGCTCACCTACATCCTAGCCGAGCTGTGGTTCAGAACCAGAGGAGGGTAGGGCTGCTGCACGCGGGCGCCCTTACCCAATGCTGACTCCGGAACGGGCTGGGTGGCGTCTACCCATCCCCGGATCCTTGGCGGGCTGGCGGCAGGACGTGGGGATGGGGTCCGCCCGCTAGCCTGCCTCCAGTCTGTGGGACTCGGGCAGGCCTGGCTAGGCCAGACGGGGCGGGGCCCGGAGAGCCCCATCTGGGTGGTCCATACCAGAGAAAAAGCCTGGCCTCGGAGCGGTCCAGTGTGCCCGCCACCTGCACTGTACGCCCGAAATAGGTTCCTGGCTTCCTCTGTGTTCCCCCCGGCCGCCGCCTCAGAGGACCGGCGGGAGGCGGAGCCGTGCGCGACACATGGCCCCGGCCCCGCGCGGCTTTGGGGCCGCCGGGGGGGGGCAGGGGAGGGGCCGCCCGGGGACTTGCAGCAGAAGCTCCAGGCGACCCGGAGCACAGCTCCTGCGGCCCAGCCCCCACCACGGCGCGCTAGCCCCGACACTCACCCGAGGGGCTGGCACGATGGCGGCAGCGGCGGCGGCAACCCAGCGCGGTCTGCGACCGTCTGTCCCTTCCCCCCTGCCTTCCCTTGCCACCCCGCTGCACTCTGGGAAACGCAGTCCTCCTCGTGCTCTTTTCTGGTATAGGTGCGCAAGGAGAAAACTACCATTCCCGACGTCCTATGCGCCGAGGCCCAGACGCGGCTCGCAGCGCGGGAGGTGAGGCTAAGTCAGGGAGGGAGGCCGCCGGGGCGAGCCCCTGAGAATTGTGGTCTAGCGGAAGCCTCTGGAACACCCAAGCTTGGCGCCAGGCTGGGGTCAGGCCTCGGTTGTCGCCAAATCCCAGCTGGTCCGGCCCCGCCCAGCTTTCGCGGCCTTTCGGTGTTGGCCCCGCCTCCGTGGGAGCTCGGCCTGTTCTCAAACTGGCCTAGCCGCCCCTCCCTGGGCCTCTGAGCTGTTTCCGCTCGCAAACCCCCCTCCCCTTTGGTGCTGTGGCCGCCCCTGCGGCTCTTCCGAGTGGAGCTCCAAGGCTACTAGGGGCGGAACCCACAGCTTCTGTTGTCCCAACATTCTTGCGCCCTGCCGGGTGCAGTTTGGACCCAAAGCTGGTTTCAAGCAAGCGCGGCTTTCCTGGGCTGGAAACAAGATTACTCTTAGATTTCTGCAGTTAGGGTGTAAAAAGCATTCTCACAAGTTTTTTGTTGTTGTTATTTTGCATCAGGCAGGGCAGCTAAGAATCTTGGTTTTATTAATGAAAAAAGATAAGTAACTGGCGCGCCCAAACCTTCACCGTGATTTAAGTGATTAAATTGTCCATAATCTCCCTCCCGCCCATTACTTTTCTTTCAGCTCCCATTTTCGGCGTCGTTTCCTGGGTAACACAAACATTTGAAGTAAGGTGTGTCTTGGTCAGGCCTACTGGGGAAATACTCTGCAGCTAAGCCGGGGGACCACAGGTTAAGTTTATAAGAGACAAGGTTTCTCCTGTTCGTCCAGAAATTTTATACCGTCACAGATCCTCACCATCACCCCTACCCCTCCACCTGGGGATGGATGGTTAGACCAGACCAGGCTTCTGTTCATTAAATCCCAAATCTGTATTATTTTGCCTGACTAGATTCTTCTCTTATTACTCAGTCAGGGAGACTGCATTGCCCTGCTTGTGGTGTATCTAGGGCCTCCCTTGCTCTGAGCTGTCCTCCTCCCTTCTAGAAGATAAAACACCCCAGAGGTTGTGCGCTCATCACATCCAGACACTAGCGAATCGTGACCAGTTTGGCTCTTCTCACTCTGTCCTGGGAGTGCTGCTGAGAGATTCAAGAGACCCAAAGTTGAAAGTCTTAAATCCCTTCAGCAAACAGGAGCTAAAGGATACACTAATGAGCATGGCTGGAGCCTGGGAAAATCCTCACTCCTAATGAAGGCGGGTGGGGACAGCTGAGTGAGTGACCCAACAGCTGCCCATAAAGGCCTACAGTCCCTGCTGGCCTGGAAGGGTACTGCTGTGCTTCCACCACCTTATGACCAGCCAGAACTAACCCCAGGAAGGGAGAGATACAGTCCCTTCCCCAACTAGGCACCTGCACAACCTATCTCCCACCACTCCTCCCCAACAGACACTTGTTTTTCAATTCAATGCCAAGGGGCCAGAAGGAAAGCAGAGACTGGAGGGATATTTTAGAGTCATTCCAGTTCAAAACTACAGGGAAAGCCCCCAGGTAAGTGACTTTTTCCATAAGTAAGAGAAAAGAATCATGTTTTATGGAGCCCAGTAAGTATGATTTGTGCCCCAATACCCATGTTAAACACTGCTAGCTTTAAAGGCATTTGTTGCTAGCTTTGAGCTAAATGACTTGGAACCACAGATAAAAATGTCACCTTGTCACTACAACATCCAGTCTAAACAAAGATGCTAACAGCCAAGAAAATGAATCAAGAGATGACAAATCCCAACTCATCCTTAAATTCCTCTGAGGATCCACCTCCTTCACAATGAAAGTGCACCAAGGTCAAAGGTATCCATATTCCTTATAAGAATCCATGGCTGGCTCCAGCTGTGGTCTTCACTGATTTAAGTAACTGCATGCCCATGTGTGCCAGACACTGTACTAGGCCTAAGGGGAGAATAGTGAGCAAAATTCAATTCCAGCTGAAAATTCTTAAGGAATTCAAAACCCCCCAGGGAAGTGCCACAATTCAGGTTAGTTCTCAGTTACTTCTTTCCCCAGTTGAAAGCACAGAAGGAGCTAACCCACGAACAAACCAGGATCATTTGGTGCAATTTCCAAACTCTTCAGGATGAGTTGGTACTCTGCGAAGACCTTATGAGGGTTAGGGCCCCTTTATGGAGAAACCTGGTCACTGAAGCATCTCTACTCCCAGGGTCAGCCTGGTCCTAGAGACCAAGGCGAAGAAGGGGGAGGCCTATCAGGAAGTCCATCTCCCCATGTTTCAAGGATCCTTAGCTGAGTCGTTTATAAAAATAAAATGGCGAGACCCAAATAAAAACCTTACTTTCTGTTTAATTCGTTTTGCCAAACAAACACAGTGAAAACTTTAGTCTGACTAATTGTACAGAAAATAGAATTTGTAACCAGTAGCAAACATAACAGGATAGACCTAAGTCCCTGGCAGGCTGGATTTCCATTAACAGGTCACCTAGATCCCCTTGTAGATGGCCTCCTGGGAGGGAGGTCCTAGGAAGCCGAGGCACAGATCTGCCAGTCCCCATCAGAATCACAGGCTGCACCTGGGAAGGAAAAGCACAAAAAAGCAGAACTGATGTTACTTGGATCTCTTATCACTACACACAGAAGAGTTGTCTCTGATTGCCAGCCAAACTCAAGGTGTTGTCTTCCCAAAGCCATAGTCCTCCAGCATCCCACCTGCATCCCCATGGGATAAGTTTCAAGTTCAGTGGTTCTGAAGCCTCTGCTTAATCAGAACCTGCAATATAAACTTGGGGTCAGGGAGTGAAGGTGTGGATGGGTAGACAAAGTCATAACTGCTGGTGTCCCCAGTGCGGTCTCAGACTTCAGGACGTTGCTTGAGGAGGAAACGAGAGGGTACTAGGTCACCAACAAAAGAGTCCAGCTGCCCTAAGCCTCAGTACTGTCAAACAGTGCCCCAGGAGTATGAGGGAGTTCAACAACGGTGGTCTCAGGTCCCTCTAAGCTGGCAGGGATCTGGGAATCCGGAGGGCCAAAAGGGGACTCGTTTACATTCCGTGCTTCTTGCGGATGACAGCCATGGCCAGCAGCCGATCCTTCTCGCGAAGTTCTTCGCGGAGCTTGGCCTCGGTGAGACGCAGGTGACGGATGCTGCCCTTCATCTCCTTCATCTTCACCTCCATCAGCGCCAGGATGTCCCGCTGCTCGTTCAGCTTGCGCAAGAGCTCTTCCTCCGTGGTGCCTGATGACAACGAGTACGAGTGGTCGGAGCCAGTATCAGGGAAGCCCTCTTCGCCCACCACCACCAACTGTGGGCCCATGGGGCACTCGGCGGCCTCCAGCCCTGCTGTAGCAGCCTCTAGCTCCGACGCAGCGGCGGCGGCGGCTGCGCCCTCTGCGGCCGCGAACTCCACTTGCACCGTCAGGTCGATGGGCTTAACGTCTTCTCCCGTGGGAGTGGTGGGCGCCGGCGGCACGGATCCTGGAGTCTGGCTGCTGTCTACAGCGGCCTGAAGGGTAAGGAGCACAGCCGCAGAAGCAGATACCAGGTTAGGCTGCAGCTGGGTGGTCTGGGCAGTGGAAGCGGACGGCGACGGCTGCTGCTGCTGCTGCTGTTGTTGCTGCTGCTGCTGCCTGCGGCGGGCGGCTGCGGCCCCCGCGGGTCTGCGTGCTACTTTGCGCTCGTTGACGCCGCGCAGTGGGAAGATGGTGGGGACCCGCACAGTGTAGGTTTTGCGGCCGCCCTGGAAGTGAACGCTGCAGAGACGGTGGCCCGTGGTGGGCTGGAAGGTGGAGAAGCACCCGCTGACGCCGGCACGGGACACATTCTTGAGCCAGAGGCGCCGTAGCTCAGCGTCCTTGGGAAACGTGTAGAAGTGCAACGCCTTGTCCCGGTGCGAGTTGTTGTAGCAGCCCGGCACGCAGCACGTAAATCCAGGCATGGCTGCGCCGCGCGGCCCGACCCGGCCCACCGGCCTCCTGAGCTTTTCGACGGTCGGGTCTGTCTGCCGCCGCCCGCCCCTCGACGGGCGGCGCCGCGCGAGGCCTTGGGCGGCCTCCCACTACTGCCGCCCGGCACGGCCGGCCTAACTCAGCGCCCCGTGCCCAGAATACGCCTCCCGCCGGCCCGCGCCGCGCCGCCGGTCCAGCCGCCCGCCTGCGCTCCGGAGTGGGCCCCAGGGACGCCGCGAAGGACCGCCTGAGGAGGAGGACTACGCCCCCCACAATGCACTGCGCCAGTAGCGGCTCACTTCCGGAGCGGGGGCGTGCTTATTCCGGCCGCTTTCCAGTGAACGGCGACGAGCCACGTAGAGCGGACTCTTCACCTACCCGGCTCACCCTCGCCGGACTAAAGAGGTTGGAGCTCTGTCGCTTGGATAGCCCTTCGCCAGGACCTTGAATCCTGAAGGAGGTCGGGCGGCGCGTCTCTCGGCAGTGCGCATGCGCTCTGGGCATATGCCCAGGGAAACTACAAATCCCGCAATGCCTTGCGCTAAACTTGGCGGCAGCGGCCTGGAGCGCCGCCTAAGGGAAAGGTCGGGTTGCAAGCTGATCAGGATTCGGACTAGGTTGTGCTGTACGCCGGAAGCGGTCTCATAACTCTGAGCCGCTCTGTTCGCGGCATTCCTGCGGGGGAGGGGAGGAAGGGCCTCAGCGTCCCACTGGGGCCTCAGGATCCTCTTTGTCTGCGTTGGAGACTCCCACCGACTTAGACGCTGCTTGCGTTGACTCACTTACTGACCAATGATCACTTACAGTCATCAATGGGTGCCTACTGTGTGCGGAACACAGTGCACGGAGTTGGAAATCCTGTAGGAACCCAGTCGACCCGACACGACTATAGAGGGACTGAGGGTCGGACTTGGATAATAGGTGTGAATGCACGCTAATGGGTGTCTAATTACAGAAATAAACGCTCCAAAAAAATGAACAAGATAGGAAGAATTCGGAGGCGGAGGCCCCGGAAGAAAAAAATCATGAGGGACTTCTCTGGTGGTCCAGTAATTGATTAAGACTAAGCTTCCACAGCATAGGGCACGTGTCGCATCCCTGTTCCGGGAACTACGACCCCCAGAGTTGTGTAACGTAAAACAAACAAACAAGAAAACAACTTAAAAATCCACGAAAGCTTGGGTAGGGAGGAGAAGCTGGTTCTTTGCCTGGGCGCCAGCCTGTAACGCCCTGAGGCAAGCAGGAGCTAGGCTCCGCCCTTAAAGAGACAGTACGGCAGAAGCTCAGAAAGATAACCAAACCAGGCCAACTTAAAAGATTTGTGATTTTATTATGACAGCGACTGCGAACTGTTGGAAGGGTGTGAAACGAAAGGATGGATAGGATTTGTAACAAGTTACCTCCCGATCCCCTTGACTTCTCTGGGGAAAGTGTTCTAAAGGGCAAGAGAGACTGGAAAACCAAGGAAGCAGGCTCTTGTCCAGAAGAATTACCTGTAAGCTAGCCCTCCTCTGCTGAATTCCCCGTTCCTCCTACTTCTTGCCCTTCTTCTCCCTTTTTCCTGCCTCTCCCTCCTCATTTTGTTCTCTTCTGATTACAAACCACAGGTATTCATTCAAAGTCAAATATATGTTATTTTTAATTATTTGATATAAAAAATAGATCGGGCCTTTTAAAAAGAACAATAGCTCTCCAAGTTAACTGCAGAAGAGAACAATAGCACTCCAAGTTAACTTACTTTTTTAAAAAGTTTGTTATTTATTGTAAAACACACTCATACATAAAATGTTCTAGAAGCATACAGGACAGTGGGGGAGGGGGGAAGAACTATTTTTCTAGTTCCAACACCCAAACATTACCATTGCATTTCTGTTTACAACCAATGTGATCCTTTGTTATTTGTGTGGATTCCACAGAACCATCCCTCCTGGCCAGTGCTATTGAGGGCCACAGCTTGAACCAATTTAGATTCAGAAACGCATTCTCTCCTATGTGTAGCTCATGCTGAAACATGTGCATTCATTTGGGTGAATCATTTATACAGCTATTAAAACATGAATACACACTTTGTTATATGTTTGAATGTTTATAAAATGTGTGCAGTAGAGATAAAATTCAGCAAAAGATCTTTGTATTGTTATATATTTTCATTGTCCTACAGTTACCGATATTGCTCTACTCCTACCAGTCTCAAGACCTACCTTACTCAAAAAAAACCTACCTTACTCAAAAAAAAAAAAGTTAGTGAGAGGTCAAATTGATGTTATTTCTTTGTGTACAGAACATTGAAGATTATGCTTTATAGAACTCTACCTTCTAGTACATAAAATGACTTCTAATCTACGTAGTATTCTACACTGAAAAAAATATCTGGAATGCATCGCATGGTTTTCTCTCTACCCTCACTGCCCTGGCCACCTTTTATCTTGTCACCTCTGGAGAAAGGCAAGAACTTTTGTCACATGTCTCCCTACTTCCAATCTTGCCTCCCCTGCAATCTCTTCTTTACATCATTGCCAGAGAAAATATGATTATGTAATACATCTGCTTAAATCCCTCCAGTGGCCTGTTGCATTTAGAATATTGTTCAAACTCCTTTGCAGAACTTGTTAAGACCTCACATGGTCTGGTTCCATGAACCTAGTTTTTTTGTTTGTTAGTTTTGGGGGTTTTTTTGTTTGTTTTTTGGCCATGACACATTGCTTGTGGGATTTCATTTCCTGAAACAGGGATTGAACCTAGGCCCTCAGCAATGAGAGCACGGAGTCCTAACCATTGAATTGCCAGGGAATTCCCCATTTTTCTTTTTTGACAAGTAATAAATATAAAGTCACAAAGTTTCCCTTGTGGCTCAGATGGTAAAGAGTCTGCCTGCAATGCAGGAAACCCGCGTTTGATCCCTGGGTCGGGAAGATCCTTTGGAAAAGGAAATAGCAACCCACTCTAGTCTTCTTGCCTGGGAAGTCCCATGGACAGAGGAGCCTGGTGGGCTATATGCCATGGGGTCACAAAGAGTCCAGCAAGACTGAGCGACTAACACACACACACAATATAAAGTTTAATCAATCATGGAAACACAGTAAGGACAATCTATGCAAAGAATACTATGCCAAAGTAAGCTTGTTCTCAAATTGTTTTGAAAAGGTTTTTATGTGAAAAAACATTGAAGGTTTTTATGTGAAAAACCTGTGTATCATCCAGTTTAAGACTTTACAAATAATAAATAAATATTTTACTTAGGTTGATAGTGATGGTGGAAAAGTGCCTGCAAAGGGCTAGCAAATTAAGTCAGGTAACATAGAAAGTGAAAGTGAAAGTTGCTCAGTTGTGTCTGACTCTTTGTGACCCCCATGGACTATACAGTCCATGGAATTCTCCAGGTCAGAATACTGGAGTGGGTAGCCTTTCCCTTCTGAAAGGTTTCTTCCCAGCCCAGGGATCAAACCCAGGTCTCACACTTTGCAGGTGGATTCTTTTCTGGCTGGGCCACAAGGGAAGCCATCATAGAGGTCAGGTCTAAATGACAGGGTGTAAAGTAAGGGAGTTAGAGAAGGCAAGGTTCGGAGAAAAAAAAATAAGACCAGCACTTTACAGGAACAGATCACCTTTAATGAGGTGAGAAGGGGCAGCAGTCCAATTAGTGGGCTGCTGGGCTAAATCAAGAAGAGAGTAGGTATATATATAGAAAACATATATACATATATATGTGGAGATACATCATTTTGAGGGGGTCTGTTTTTCCTCATGTCTATTTTTGATTAGTTAGCTTTCAACAATTGGGGTAAGGGATTTCTGAGACCGACCAGAGACTGGGATCAGCTGGGAGCTGAACGTAATCAATCTTAATGCCCATTCCTTTCTTCAGGGGAGTAAGTTCTTTATTCTGTATAGAATGGTGTGGAGGACCTCGAGGGTAGTTTTAACTCCAGGCTATTTTGAGCAGCGTAGCTTTCCTTCATAGGAAATATTGATATGATTTTCCTCCACAGTTCTCTTATTTTGAGACACAAAAATCCTATATTTTCTTTAATCTATATTTAAACACAAACACAAATGTGCCCATGCCTGTTTCCAGTATCTGATACTTCACACTCAATTTACAATCATGAAGGAAAACTCCACAGGAAATGCATAACTCAAGTTCTATTTCAGTTCCCACTAAAAGGTGAGCAATGGGGCTATCAGTTGGTGAAAATATGGTAATGGAGTCTCCAGTATTAACAGAACTTTTGAGAGCCGGAACTCATCTCGAAATTGCTTGTGTTTGGAAATTTTAAGATCTCTGCTGGATCACAAACAGTTCACTAGCCTCCTAGCCTGAAAACTGATCTATTGTGATAGATACAGACACATTGGTTGGCAAATGCAAATTTGACCAGGTCACATATAGAATACAGTAATTTTTTAGAGGCCCAAATGTGTCTCTCCTCATCTTCGGAGAGGGAGAAGAGAATGAGAGACATTCTAACAATAGTAGCTGTTATTTTTTTGGTGGCCTGGCTTATTATATGTCAGATCCTGAGTTAAACATTATCTCTTTGAGTCATTACACACATACACACACACCCTTATTAGGTGGGTATCACCCTAAGGAAACCGAGGTTTCAAATGGTGCCCATATTTGCTCAGGCTTAAGGATGGAGCTTCCCCAGGAGCTTAATGGGAAGGAATCTGCCTATAATGCAGAAGATACAGGAGACACAGGAGATGCATGTTCGATCCGTGGGTTGGGAAGATTCCCCGGTGGGAGGGAATTGCAATCCACTCAAGTATTTTTGCCAGGAAAATTCTACGGACAGAGGAGTCTGGCGGCCTACAGTCCACGGGGTCGCTAAGAGTTGGACACGACTGAGCAATTGAACACAACACACAAGGTAAGGATGCCTGCAAAATCAGTTTGCAAACACCACTGGACACACCAAGAGAAGGCCGCTGCAGGACTAGGACTGCAATCCCCATGGGGCTGTGCGGCTGCCTCACGAGAGTTGACCTAATTCGGAAGCATCGCGAGAGTTGGTTTAAATGTGGCGGCAGGAAGGCGACGGCTGTGGATACCCAAGCCGTTGGAAAAGTGGGCAACTGAGGCGATGGCCGACAACTTCAGCCCTGACAGCGAGCCTACGACACGCACACTGCTACGGCGGGTGCTGGATACAGCGGACCCGCGCACACCGCGGCGAGCCCGGAGTACTCGGTCTGGGTATGTGAGGGCGCTGCCCCAGCACAAGAGCAACCAGAGGCCTTGGGAGATGGGGTCCCGCGTTGACTCAGCTGGGAGAGGAAAACTGAGTTCCGGGGAAGAGCAGAGCCCAGGACTCAGACCAGGTTCCTTTCTCCCCGCTGGGCTCGGGTCATCTGTTTGTGCCCCGACCCCTGAGCCTCCAGGCCGCTCAGGACCTCAGAACTTAATTATGCAGGAGCCATTGGCGGGGGCGGGGGCGGGGGGGGGGTAGGATGCGATTTTGGACGCGAAGGATATTTGCTCAGAATCTGGACTTCTGCTCTGTTCTCTATAGGCCAGTTTTCCAGAGTTGTCCAGGCATCTGCCGTGTACTGCCTCCCAGGCGGTTCGTTCCCAGCTGAAAGATGGGAAAGGAATTGGAGAGAACAGTTTGGGTAGCAGTCGGGAGGCAGGAACTGGAACGATGCTTTGCTAGGGAGCTGGGAATTTGGCTGGACGTGGTGGGAGTGCAGTGGGTGAGGGCGGTGGTGAGCTCATGGTGTAGAGGGTGTGGAAGATGGCGTCTGCTGACATTCTAGGGCGCTGCAGTTCCTTTACTGACAATGAGAAGCCATTCACTATAGGTTTTACACCTATGAGTGACGAGGTAGGAGTTGTGCCATAGGAACATTATGTAGTTCTGGAATCTGAGAGGGGATTGGAGTGGAAAAACTAGGGCTAGAATGACCCATGTTTAGTTTGCTGTCCGACCCTGAAGAGTACTTAAGAGGTTAAAATTTTTTTTTAAATATCCTTGGTTTGTTTTAATGTCTAGAGTGGATACTCTTCCAGTTGTTCTGCTTATCAGTGTGGTTAACCCCTGATTTTGCCAAAGTCACCTCTGTGAAGTTTTCCTTAGCCCTTCCCTCTGGCTGGGTCGTCATATTTCCTTTCTCTTCCCATTCTTCTCTGGCTCCCTTTCATCCACAACCCTTTTGACACAGGACTGGGAACACAGCTATGGGAGGGGCAAGTGGTTTCTGGGTCCCTGTCCCTGAGGGTAGAAGACTTCAGCCAAGATACCAGATGAAGATACCTCTCTAATTCCTCTTGTTCCTCTTTTCTACACAGTTCTCACAGTTGCTGGTCTTTACACAGTGTCCAGAATGACCTGCTTGAAACACCTTCCTCTAGGAGGCTGAGGAGTCAAACAAAGATGACTGCCAGGCATCGTTCTCATACAGCCAGGGTAAGTGCCCTACCCACTGACCACTATAGGGCTCTGATTGCCTTCAGGGGGCCCTTGAGTTCTAGCTCTGCTCTGGAGCCCACCTGGAGGGACTCTCAAGGCAAAAGAACAGACTGATTGCTTGGTGCTTTTCCCCAAAGTCTGTTGACAGATTGGCCCGTGTTCAAGCCAGTGGACACCTGGAGGAACAGACACCCCGGACTCTGTTGAAGAACATCATACTAACTGGTGAGCAAGCACTGGCTTGCAGTGAGAATGAGGCTCCAGCCCCATGGTATCCCTCATTTAGAGTAGCCTGCTCTGCCAGCTTTACGCTCTCTTTGCTATTTCTTTATTTTTGGTTGCAGTGAGTCTTCATTGCTGTGTGTGGGCTTTCTCTAGTCGCAGCAAGTGCAGGTTCCTCTTCATTGCAGTGCGTGGGTTTCTCATTGCAGTGATTTCTCTTACTGCAGAGCACAGACTCTAGGGTGCATGGGCTTCAGTAGTTGTGCCAGTCAGGGTTAGTTGCTGCACAGCATGTGCAATTTTCCCGACCAGAGATCGAACCTGTGTCCCCTGCATTGGCAGGCAGATTCTTACCCACTGCACCACCTGGGAAGTCCTCTCCTTGCTATTTCTGCAGCTCCAGAATCTTCCATTGTGATGCCAGAGGCAGTGGTGAAGCTGGTGCCATCACCACAGGTGGTCCAGCCTTCCAGACAGGAAAGCAGTCGGGGCAGGTACAGTCAATTCTCCCCTTGGACTGGGCTGTTGGGGGCATTATTGGTCCGGGAGTCTCTTGGGGGGCCCCAAGAGCCAGAATTGGGTGTCCTAGTCTGTCTGAGATAAGCTCCATCCTTGTAGCCTGGAGCTGCAACTTCCTGAACTTGAGCTCCCCACAACCCTGGCTCCAGGTCTGCTGGCTCCTGGCAGAAGGAAGCAGAGGCTGAGGTTGTCAGAGTTTCAACAAGGAATGGACTGGGGGCATCTTTCCAAAGGTGAGGTCCTGGACATCACCTGTGGCCACCCTCTCTGTCCTCTGGAAAGACTGAGGAGGCCTGAGAGGCCTGGTAACTTATGGTTTCTTTTTACATCTTCTGTAGAGCCTCGTGAGAATGCTGATGCCTCTTCCCTCACCAGGTGCTGTTGCCTATTTATTCTGGGAATTGCTGGAAAAGAGGCTTGGGAAAGGAGGTTGCTGACCAGGAGGGAATCTGACCATATTCCTCCATGCCCCTAGCATGGTGGCTGTTCTAAGAAAAGAGAGCACCAGGGGAGCTGGGGGAATTTCTGGAGCGAGGGAAGGGGGTTAGGCCTCAGGTACCTGACTTTCTTTTGTGCCTTATCCCTCCCGTCAGCTCTCTCAACTTGACCTTTGCCGTGCCTGTCCAGCCACAATCAGTGAAGAGGCCTGGTTTAGCTCGCAGACCTCCTACTCGCCGAGTGGTAGATGTGGGTACATTTTTGCAGGATCTGCGAGATAGTTCCTTTTCTGTGGCTCCTCCAGGTAAGGTTGAGATTTTCCTCTTCTGGTCGATGGGGAAATCTTCCACCCCATGATTGATGGGAGGTGCTGTTGAGTCCAAGGTGGCTTCTCTCTCCTTTGTGTCAGGAATGGTGAGCAGTCCTGGCCAGTAGATCTAGGAGGACTTCCTGGTTTCTTTCCACAAGTTGCCACTTATCTTGTGGGTCCAGTCTTAGTCCCTCTTAGTCCAGTCCCTCTTAGCCCTCTTAGTCCCTCCTTAGTCCAGTCTTCCAGAACCCTGTATCCTTGAAGAGCTATAGGACTGAGGGTAGGAGAGGGGTGTGATATGGTGGCTGGAGCTTATTGGAAGATTGAAAAGGGCTAAGTTTCAGGATCAGCTGGTCAGCCAGAGCTGACCTGGGAGCCTGATTCCAGAAAACAAATGAAGTTCATCATGGCAAGAGAAGGGTTTCTGGCAGAGGGATCTGAGTGAGAAGTGGAGAATGGAAGCATGGGTGAGCAGTTTGAGTGGGGCAAACTCACTTTTTTGAGCTCTGGAGCCTGGGAATGCCAGGCTGAGGAGCAGGGAGGTAAGCAAGGAGAGCTGTGGAAGAGAGATTAAGCTGAGTGCTAAGTAGTTTTCTCTTTCTGAGGGCCACTTGGGCAGACTCATAGACCTACTACTTAGGCCCTGGTGACTGGGTAGCAGCAGGTGGGCAAAATTCTGAGTGCCACCTGGCCTTTGATTTCCAGGTGAGAGCCACAGAACCCCTGTTGCTACTGTGCCAACGGACACAGTGTTGGAGGACACCCAGCCCTTCTCCCAGCCCTTGGCTGACCACTCCCCCAGTGTACACCACTCCCTGCCTTGTCCCTCTCACTCTGGGGCAAAAGAAGTGGAGGGGGCTGCCCGTCGCAGGACACGGAGCAGTGGGCCTGGACTTCAAAACAACCGTGAGTATGTGGGGCATGTGACCTGGAGTCAAGCCTAGCTTGAGCAAGAATTTGCACTGGTGGTTTTCCCTCCTCAGGCCCATAGGTGTGCCTTTACCCTCCCGCAAGTCCCTTTAGAGGGCTCGTGATCCATTCATCCAATGCAAAGTCAGCGTCGGGCCAGGACACTCCAAACCAGTGCCCTGGTTCTGCCTCTGGCCTTCTTCCCTCCTTGATGGGCTAGGCTGGGTTTTACTACTCCATCTTTACCCTTCGCAGAGCTACAGCCCTGGCCTACTGCTTTGCTAGTGTGTATTCTGTTCCCTAGATTCAGGTCCTGGGAAACCAGCCCAGCTTCTGGCAAGAAAGGTGGAGGAGGTTGATGCCCTTGCCATGGGCTTTCCAAACACCAGCAGTATCTCTGGAGAAGATGGCGTAGAGCCCTTACAGAATGGAGTAGGTGAGGAAGCAGAGGAAAGTATGGAAGAAAGCGTGAGTGTGAGGGAAGTGGAGAAGGCAGCAGAAGAACAAGAATCTGCCAGGGCAGAAGAGCCTGAAGGACACACAGAGGTGACAGAAGCAGCGGGATCCTTGGGGGCTATTGAGGCCAAGGAGCCAGAAGGATCTTCAGAGGATAAAGATACCTCTGGTAGGTCGGGTAAGGGGCCCAGTGGAGGGATCAGGGAGTGGGTGGGTAAGTGACAGCTGTGTTCCTGGCCTCGGAGGAGGGACTTAACCTGGCTTGTGTTTCTGGGCTTAGGTAGTCTGGGGCCAGGGAAACTCTGAAGGGCACCTTGCTTGGCCAGAGCTAGATGGAACAATCAAAGAACAGGATAAGGGAGCTGCAGGCCTTCAGGCTTGGGTGAGATGGTCAGGCCTGAGCCTCCTGTAACCCTGCGCTTCCTCCGCAGCAAGTCCACAATTGGCCCCCAGCACTCCAGAGTTCCTTCAGGCCAGGCGACTTCAGTTTCCTGAGCCAGCTCCACCACCAAGCACTGCAGTGTAAGATCCCATGACCCTGTTCCACATGGGCCTCTTAGAAGGGGGCAGGCACTGAAGTTGCCATTGGGCACCATAGGGTTATTACTCTTCCTATACGTAGGTAGAGGTTACCCAGTAGAGCACCCTGAGGTGGGCTGGGCAGGGCTCACTGAGAGCACGTCTGTCATCCCGTGCTGCTTGCAGGGGCTTAGAAGAGCCTGGCCAGGGGGAAGTACCTGGGCTAATAAGTAGTCAGAGAAGGCTTCCTGGAGGAGGATTAGCAGAATGGGACAGGCAGCAATGGGCTGGTGGTGGGGTAGGGGAGGGGGCTGTCTGTGCCAAAGCCTGAGGATCATGGGCCTGAGCAAATAATGGTTTGTATGATGAGGTGAAATGGGGACATTGTGTCCAGTTTGTGAAGCATCAGGTCCCCAGGGAAAGACCAGGCTTCTACATAGCCCCGCATCTCCATTGCCCCCCAGAATTGGTTGGAACTGTAGGCGCAGGCTGGCCAAGGAGCACAAGGACCCCAATCTTGGCAGGAGCCAGCAAGACTTATCTTTGATTAGGGGCCTCTTAAGGGAGCATTTAGCTTAACTCTGTTCACTTCTTGTCTCCAGCTTACCTTCAGAACTCCCAAAGCGTCTGTCGGCCAGGATTCCTCCCAGGCCCCGAATCCCTGGCTCCAGACCCCGTCAAGATCCCTACAAGGCTGGACTGAACCACTATGCAAAACTCTTTAGCTTCTATGCTAAGATGCCCATGGAGAAGAAGGCTGTGGAGATGGTGGAGAAGTGGTGAGTCCTTGACATTTAGGTTGGGGAGAGGAGCTCCTCAGATCATGAACAGTCTGTCCTACCCCAACCTTCCTGGCAGCCTGGACAAGTACTTCCAGCATCTTTGTGAAGACTTGGAGGTATTTGCTGCTCATGCTGGGCGCAAGACTGTGAGGCCAGAGGACTTGGAGCTGCTGTTGCGAAGGTAAGCGGATGGAAGCAGGGAGGTGCTGGGTGTGGGAATGCTGGTGCTGATTCTCTCATTCTCTGTCCTCTGCTGCAGGCAGGGCCTGGTCACTGACCGAGTCTCCCTGCATGTGCTCGTGGAGCGGCACCTGCCCCTGGAGTACCGGCAGCTGCTCATCCCTTGTGCCTTCAGTGGCAACTCTGTCTTCCCCACCCAGTAGGGACCAGGACTCAATACCTGCCCTGTCCCCACCTGGGGTTGCTTGGCCCCACATACACTTCTAGGCTTCCTCCCCACCCCTCAGCATCAATAAAGTGTCACAAACAGAGTATGCTGTGTTTTGATGCATGTCCTGGGGCAGCCAGGCAGGGACCAAGCCCCTCCCCTTGACTCCCCAACATAACCTAGAGAATAACATGGGTTCAGACAAAGAATTTTATAACAACAATCAGAGGTTAGCAGCATGGGAGCACTTAGGCTGCCCTGGTGGCCTTAGCTTGCAGGTTCCTGCTCCCGAGGCCCCATACGCCTAATGTCATTCATCTGAAGCTGTTCTAGTGCAGTCTGGAGCTGTGTCACAATGCCCTCTTCCCTTTCTTCACCCTCCTCTGGCATTTCTGTCATGGGGAGCTGGAAGGCCTGCCTCAAATAGTGGTTCAGGGTCTGCTTGTCCAGGCTGGGATCAATGTTCATCAGGGCCTCACGTACCTTGGGTAGGGTCACCTCCTTGTTGCTGTCCCACAAAGAAAGAAAGAGACAGACCTTGACCCTCCACTCTCTACCCAGACCCCAGGATGCCCTCTCCGAGGCTTGAGTGGTATGTAAGGCCCAGCAGCAAGCTTGGTGCTTAGGGAGACCCAGGGGCTGGAGGTGCCACTTTGTGGCCCAGCCTGCAGGACTTGCCTATGACTGGATGAGCCTAGGGGCCCCAGGATCACTCACAGTTCCAGGCCCAGCTCCTGCTTTAACTCATTTAAGTATTCATCCTTTTCCACCGTGTACTGTTCCCACAGCTTTTGCACAAAGGGCACGCTCTGGCCCTCCTCATCCTGGGAAGGGGCCACAAGGCAGGGTGAAGATACACGGGCTAGAGTCTAGGCAGAGACTAGGTTGGGGCTGGGCAAGTTCCTGGGCCCCAACCCACCTCCATAAACAACATGCGGTAGTCGAGCAAGTCTGCATTGCTGATGCTGGGATGCCAGCCTGCTGTCTCCATCAGCTCCTGAATTCTCTCATCCTTCTTAAAGGGGAAGGCGCTCTTGAGGACAGTACTGTAGGGAGACACGAGGGCTGATTCTGCTTACCTATCTTCCTGCACCCCTCTGCCAGTCCTACTAGTGCTCAGAAGGGCAGCATGCCTTGAGGTTCTGGCCTTTTCCCACCAGGCTCCCCTTCCCGCTGCACTGGGAACCAGGCCAGCGGGCATGTTGGGCTGGAGTTTGGGGTGACCCAACTGGTCTCTCACCTTAACTGCTCCACGGTTAGTAGCCCCTCATTCTGGCTGTCAATGTTTGTCATCTCCTTTAGCAGCTGTGCTATGGTCTCCATCTGCTTGATGTACACACTCTCTTTCCTCTATGGGAGGAAGCATTGACTATCTTGCTGTTTCCTAGAGGAATAGGGACAGAGCTGGCCTATGCTGGGGACAAAGGGTAGAGAGCCAGGCCCAAGCTTACCTTTCCCATCAAGACTGCATAGAACTGACTCATGACTTCATTGGTATGGAAGAGCTTGATATATTCAAAGATGGTGTAAGCCCAGGCCATGGCATCACCAGGCCCAAAGTGGCGCTCCAGGAAACTGAAGAAGAAATCTGGGAACTTCTCTTTCTGCAGGGTAGGGGGAAGACTGCTTGGTTGGCCCTCCTCCCAGTTCCCTCGTGCTTTGAGGGAACACCCCCCACCCCTGTCTGCATCCGCCCTCCACCGCCAGAGGACTTAGGCGGCCATGCTGGGCTAAAACAGTTGGAGAGATCTGACCTGCTCCTCAGTGATACGTTCCTTCCAGGCATTCTTGAGGAGTTTTACCACTTCCTTCTTGGTTGGCTTCTTGTTCTCCACCATGCCATCAAACCGAAGGAAAGGGGGAATAGATTCCCCATAGCCCTGAAAGGAACCATGTCAGCTCATCTCTGGGCCCAGCTGTAGCCCCACCAACAAGCAGGGCAGGGCCCCACATCGTTCCTCCAGAACCTCAAGTTTTCTCTGCAGTGAGGCCTGGCTATTCCCCGAGCCCAGGGACTCCCCTACCAGACCAGTGAAGAAGTCTTTCTCCCGGAGCAGCCCCTCTCCAATCTCCTCCAGGAGCACGTCTACCAGCTGGTCGCTGTTCTTGCCCTCGGCCAGCATGTGCCAGCGATCTCGTCCTCCAGCCACCACATCTGCAGGGTTTGGGGAGGGAGCTGGAGTCCAGACCACACACTTGTGCAGTCCCTAGGGCCCCAAGGGCCAGCATTACCTTCACACTTGGACCAGTCTGGTCGTGGTGTGGAGGTGCGCTGGATCTCCTGCAGCTCGGAGTAGAACTGGTCCCGCTCCTTCAGCGTGCTCATGTGCAACTGCAGCAGCATCTCGTGCTCCTTGCGGACCTCTTCGTAGTCGTCTCTCAGGCTCTCCAGCTGTGGGCAGGGTGATTGGTCCTTGCTACCCACCTGTGTGGCCCTGCCCTGCCCTGCCTGCCCACCAGCACCTGCTCCTGCAGTTCCTTGAGGGTCTTCTCCTGCATTTCAAAGTCCCTCCTGGGCACAACATCTCCAAAGTTGGCCTTCATGGTGTTGAGTTCCATCTGTGTGCGGGTCAGGTCTTGCCGGGCCATCTTCAGAGCCACTGTTAGTTTCACGGGGTCCTCCCCCCAGACACCTGCCAGGAGGCACACCAGCTCGCATCACCCTGGCTCTGGGGCCTGTAGCCCAGGACAGGGTTGAGTGTCCCTCAGGGCATGTCCCAGGTCTTCCGGCTCTCCCAGCTTGGGAACCACTGGGTCTTTCCATCATGCTACCACTGTAGAACTTTGAGCTTAAATAGAGAAGCCCAGGACATGGAGTACCAGGCCTGTGCAGCCCTTGGGGAGTCTAGGTTGCCTCAACTGCCAGCGATTGTTTCCTACATAAACAAGAAGTCTGTGATTCTCAGGCCAGCTCAGAAGATCCACAGACCCTGGTGGCAGCAGGAACATCTCTCTGGGAGTGAGCATGAAACGAGCAGATATCAGGAGCAATGAATACATGGGAGTGAGTGGTGAGAATCAGACTCCCCTCCAGCAGGGCAGAAACCCACCTCAGGCTTACCTGGGGACTGGGCTAGTGACATGTCTTCCCGCTGGTAGCGTAGCTCATTCAGGTCTGCGATGAGGATCTTTCGGGCATCTCTCTCGCTGAGGTAGTGCAGATACTCCTCAGCCAGGTTCTTCCTCAGCTTGGTCACCTATTGGGGAGATGGCTTTGTGGTCAGGGGCCGTCTCTGGACAGCTCGTCACCACAGCAGATGGGTGGGTGCTGGGCGGCCCTACCAGGGCCTGGGAACAAGAAAGGGAGGAAGGGGAGGAGACTGGTTGTTCCTGTCAAAGTGCCGACGCTTCCTCCTGTGGAGAAAGTCTGGCAGCCAAGAAGTAGGACTCTGCTAGCACTGAGGGCCACACTGAGGCAGTCCTGGGCCAAGGAGGAGGACAGCATGTGGAAGCGGGGTTTGGGAGCAGGTGGTGGCTCTATGTCATTCCAGGTAGAAGGGTGGAGAGAGCCAGGGGGTCACACCAGTGCCAAAGGCTTTAATGTCACCCCTGGGGTGGGGTGGCAGGAATTCAGGGAGTTGGGCACCACATTACTCCCTTTTCACCTCAGTCTGCAATGAGATCTTCTCCTCATTTTCCTTGTCAATGAGTTTTAGCAAATTCATCTTCTCTTTCTTCAGCATGGAGATTTCATCTCTCTCCTCAGCCCTCATGGCCAGGATCCTCTCATTGCAGTCCTCGTTCACAGTGACCAGCTTGGCCTTCAGGGGCTCCAGAGCCCGAATTTTCTCCCTTTGGTGGGCTAAGCAGGGACAGGTAGGGGAGTCCCTTTGGGGCCATGGAGGACAAACAGCCAGCAGACACTGATCTGAGGTCACAGTGAGCAACTATGTCCCTTGCAAACTCAAGGTCTATACTCCCATTCAAAGAAGTTTATGCTCCCTGCTTAAGAACTTCCTGCACTTGATTTGCAACCAGCGGCAGAAGCCAGATGAGGACTGGGGTCTCACTCCTGCACCTTCCCTGTACAGTTTTTAGTTCTGCAGCTGTGCCATGCCCAGCATCTCCTGAGCCTGGGGAGGGAAGCCCCCTCACTTCCCTGAACTACATAACTCCCTTCTGGGCTTCAGTTTCAATAGAAAAGGTGCTCTGTTTCCTACAGATACAGCTCCACCATGCTTCCAAGAATGGGCGGTAGTCAGTTGCCCTGGGGTGCCCTATCACAGAAGAGTGTAAGCAAGAAGGCTTGGTGACCTCAAAGCCCAGTTTGTAGGTACCCCAGACCCCTGCAGAACCCAGAAGATCAAAATAGGATCTTCTGTGCCTCTTCCAGACTCGGCCCAGGCAGAGAGGCTGCAGTCTTACCCAGCATCACCTCATATGCATTCTTGATGGAGGACAGCAATGGCTTGTATGTTTTGAAGTCCTCTATGAAGAATTCAAAGATCTCTCTGTAAGGCTGGCAAGAAAAGGGAAACTGTCATCTCCTGGCCTATAGCTGCCACCCTCAGAGGGACCTAAGTGTTTCTTTGCTCAACTTAGAAGGGTTCTAGTATGAAGCTGCCAGTCAATTCACATTCAAATAAATGCCACAGGCACCACTAGGGTCTCGCACAGTCCGGGAGCTGAGTCCATCCATCTAAACTGCTCTCTGGAGACCTGGCAGGCAACCTGGGTCAGGACCTCCCCCTCTACCTGCGCCCCTTCTCTGGCTCTCCAGACAGCCAACCTCCTCCATTCACTGTGCTTCAGCTTGCCTCTCACCAACACCCCTCCCCATTTACAGCACTTTAGGCTCTAACCTTGCGTTCCAGCCTCCAATGAGACATGATTTCCTGTCCTACCTGGACACACAGGAAGCTTTTGGAAGCAACATTGTGTACTGGAATGAGCACAGACTCCTGAACCCACCCTGAGTTTGAGTCCTAGCTCCACTGCTATGAAGCTGGATGCCCTCTCTGCTTCTGCTTCCTTGTTGGCGAGGTTCCTTTTAGCTCATGAGGCCATATCTAGGCCCCATCCAGAGCTTGCACAGATGGTGCTCAGTAGATGCTTGTGGCAGTGACTAAGTCAGAATTGCGGGGTTCCTCATCATCATTTCCGTTTTAGCAGGAATTGGGTGATTACTTCCCTGATATGCATCAGAGTCTAGGTTACATCCAGATTTCTCTCTGTTTTGGCTAAGTTCCTCAAGCTTGGGGCTAGTGTGACTGGGCTCGTGGACATTTTATGACCCGTGCTTGCCCAACTGTCAAAATTCAGGCTCCATTCACTGATATTGCATGACCCAAGGTGGGTGCTGGGGATCACAAAAGGGACAAAAGTATCCAGACCACCTACTCAGGTCAAGAAGCCAAAGTCTCAGGAGAGTTTTGGTTCCACCCTGGTCACTTTGCTTGCTCACGCTTTGTCTTAGAATCTGTTTCTTTTACCAGGAATGGGGAACCCAAAAGAGCTGGGGAAGGCTGGTCTCTGCAGAAAATCTAAAGTGCCCAGTCTCGGTGAGTAAGGTTTCCCCACAGGGTTTCTGTGGTTCTGACCTGCAGCTTTAGTTCCTGGGCAGAATCCGTGCTTAGGTCCAGCAGGAGGAGTTCCTTGCGCAGGTAGTTCTCAAGCTGCTCCAGGTACCTCGGCTTGGTTGTGCCCAGGGGCTGCTGCAAGCTACTGCAGGGGGTGGTGAGCTGAGATGCCATGGACACCCTGCCGGACCCTCACGCCCCACAGGTCTGTGGCAGCACACATCCCTGTGCTGTTTCTGGGCCCAGTCTATCCACCATCACGCTGACCCTAGCTTACCCTGCCCGCTTCCGGTAGTCATCTGAACAGGGCTTTCGATTATGCAGAATGGTCTGGTCACTGATGTATCTGGGCCAGGGGGACAGGTGGCCACCGATGGAGAACGAACCGGACTGTAAGAAGGGACAGGCGGGGTTACCATGACAACATTGCTCCCCTTCCTGATGTTCTTTTCCAGGCTCCTCCTTCCACTCCTGGGTCTTTCCTCCCCAACAACATCTCTTAATATGGTTCACAGTTAAGACTGTGGTCCTTATGGGAATTCCCTGGTGGTCTAGTGCTTAGGACTCCACACTTCCACTACCTGGGTAGCACCAATACCTCAGGGAAACAACAACACTTTTGAAGAGCTATGAATGGGCCTTTGCCCAAGGAGAGCAGGCCAGCTGAGGCTGAGGTCTGGGCTGGCCAGCGCAGAGGGCATAGAGGTGAAGTGGCAGCTCTATCATAAGGTCCTCAAAGCCTTACTTATGACTATGAAAAAAATCAGAAAACTCTCTAAGTATCTAAAAGTAGAAGACTATTGTGCAGCCATGAAATGTTTACAAAGAGGCTTAACATGGGTTATAGCAAGGTTAAGTAAAGCCTGAAATTAGGGAATAAGCACAACCAGGTAAGATAAAAAAACCAGAAAAGAAGAAAGAAATAACCCAAAAGAATACCAGCAGTTATTCTGTAATGATAGGCCCATGGGTGCTTTTGTATCTATAATTGTGTGTTTTTCAAAATTTTCTACAATGCATAAATTACTTTGAAATAAAAAAAAAAAGAATTATTGAATTCAATATTAAAGCCTGCTCTGTGGCCCTGAGCCCAGCTTCCAGGTTCTTCTTGGATGGAGGCCAGGCCTACCTCCCATATCCCACATATCCAGGTTCTAGGAGTCCTTCCAGACTAATGGTAGCTGGCTCCTGACCCTCTTAGGGTGGAAATTGCCCCTGTCTCCTTGGGCTCTTCTTTGCATTCTTAGTTCTACCTATTTTGTCTCAATCTTGCAATCATCCATCCTTTCCCTAAATATTTTGGAAAGTACATAGTAAGTCTTGTTGCTAGGTCTCAGGGAGGACTCCAGCCTCTGGGGGTTTGGGTTGACCTATCTCTGTACTTCCAGAATAGATGGCATCACACTTCATCCTCTTCATAGTCTTTTTTTTTTCTTTCTTAATTCCAGTATGGTTGATTTACAGTGTTGTGTTAACACTCCTCATAGTCTTAAGAAGCATTTAGCAAATATTGTGGAATAAATGTTTAGGGAAGCATGATTTAGTTGGATGCATGATATAATAAAAGCAGAAACACTACTTATTGGGTGTATGTTCACACATGCTTTGCCAGGGTCAAGAATGCTCCAGGCTGGCTATTCATATTTTGGCTATTCATATTTAGGATCTCAGGGGTTCTCCCTGATACTCTTTTCAGTCCCAACACCCACTCATTCCCATCATCACACCCCCATCTTCTCTCAGAAAGAGTAGATGTCTTGCTTACCACTGTTTCACCAGTGCCTGACACAAAGTGGAAATCAACAAGTATTTGTTGAATAAATAAAAACACAGCATGGGAGGGGGAAGAGATGATGAAACAGAATTATGAAGAGTTTAAAGCTCAAAATAAAGAAAATGTGGTACATATATATAGAGGAATACTACCCAGCCATGAAAAAGAATGAAATAATGCCATTTGCAGTAATGTGGATGGACCTAGAGAGTATCATATTAATGAAGCAAGTCAGAGAAAGGTAAATATAATATCAATTATATGTGGAATCTAAAATAATTATACAAATTAACTTATTTACAAAACATAGACTCACAGACATAGAAAACAAACTTACAGTTACCAAAGGGGATAGCAGAGTGGGAGTGGGGGAGATAAATTAGGATCTGGGGATTAACATATACACACTACTATTATATAAATTGGTAACCAACAGGACCTATTGTATAGCACAGGGAAATATACTCAATATCTTATATTACTAACCTATAATGTAATAATTAATAATTGTAATAATAACCTATAATGGAAAAGAACCTGAAAAAGAATATATGTATAATGGAATCACTTTTCTGTATACTTGAAACTAACACATTGTAAAGTAACCATACTTCAGGAAAGACAAACAGAAAATATAAGAACAGTAACAAAGGGAGACCAGCCTTGAAAATTCCCTGAGAAGACAAAACCAGTTTAGTCATAGAAATAAAGCTTAATTTAGCTTATTTTGGGAGACTTAAAAAATAAAAGAGGCCAGATCTCGCATTCTGTCTGCCGTTTCTGTCAAGAGAAGACGGGGTTACCCTATTTTGGTTTCCCAGCATAGGCTGCTTTCTTGGTCTGGTTATCAAATAGTTGGTCAAAGCCTCCGCAAGCGGGTGCTTGGAAGGTGGTGTTCCTGTGAGCTGTGCTGTCTGCTTCCCCCTGCAGGTGAAAACGGGAAGGGTGGCCCTGGGGGTTGGAGGGACCGCAGGAGGGTGCAACGTCCCCTGGTGGTTTAGTACGGTATCACTGCCGACGGGCAAAATAAAGGGAGTGAGAGCCTGATCCCACTTCCACTGAGTAGATGGCTGCTGAAGGGGCAGGGAGCCCCAAGTAATCGGGATCATGCGATACTGTGGCTGCGCTTGGTCTCCGCTTAGAGTCCACACTACCCCTTTCTCGCCCTGATATCAGGTTCTTGATGTTTGAAGTCCCCAGCCTCACAAAGGGTACAGCTCATGTTCCCATCTTCTACACAAGACACACTCACCCAAGTGTGTGGTGGAAAACTACCACAGCCCACAATTCTCCACGGTGAGCTGGACTTACAAGTTTGCTCAAATGTTTTTTTTTCACCTGTGATTTTTGGACAATGGCTGCTTGCTGATTAAATAGTAATAACAATCTTATGATCATATCAACAAAAACTCCTAAATCTTAATAACATAACATTTTAAAAAATTTGTGGGGAGAATCAGCGATGGCACTCATTCCCCACTGCAGTGAAAGTGTAGAGTCCTAACCACTGGACTGGCAGGGAATTCCCCAGCATTCATTTTTATATAAAAACTTCAAAGAACAGGAATGGAGGGAGAGACTGTCCTGAGACTGACAGAGTCCCTACTTCCAGTGCAGAGCCAACAACACAGTGGAAGAACATCCTTTGCTATTGCCTTCACACACCTACTCACAGCAGTTGTGGCACACATTATAGCAGCCACTCAAGTACTACATCAGGCACTAGGGGTGTAAAGACAGAAAAGATACAGGGTCTTCTAAAAGACCCTGACAGATCTGGTGGGACCGTCCCAGCACCAAGCACAACGCCTGGCACATTGTAGGCTGGATGAAGAAATGAGGTCCACTCCAGAATGTTGTGTTGCAAGAGAAGGTTATCTGTGGGCAGGGGCTGGTCTGGGAAGGATTTTCAGGTGAGGTGTGGCAAGTGTGCATGCTCCCACCCCAGAGGCTGGTGGGCCTGGCCTCTGACCCACACACCCCTGACTGGGGATCATAATTTGGAGATCCCACAGGACATTGCCACTAACCAGCAGTGTCTTCCGTTTCTGAGAAAGCTTGCGTTTCTGGGTATTCTTGGTATCTGTGAAGAGGGAATCATCTATGGACACTCCTAAAGGCCGCAGTTGTGCTCTGCACAGAGAAGGAGAAGGAAGTGGTCGGTGAGCCTTGAATGGGGAGTGCACTTCCACCCTTCTCAGAACCACAAGACATGGCCTCCTCTCTCCTCTGAGCCAGGTTCTGGGTCTTCCCAGTGCTGCCTCCAGATTCCCAGAGGTGCTGTCTACAAGCTCCCGATTCTGGGCTCACAATATTTTCCCACATTCCCAGAAACATTTTCCTCATCACTGGAATCTCATGTACTCCTGCAGTGGCATAACACCCCTTACCAGGAACCTATAAAGCCACGTGGGCCTACACTTCCTTCAGCATTCATCTGTGGCTCTAATGACCATTGTATGTACATAACCAGCACATTCTAGGGGTGTGATACCAAAGGCAGGTGCCATAGGACAAAAAGTACAGAGTCTGGAGTCAAGAGTCAGGGTGAGAGTCTTGAGCCTATACTTACTAAATGTTAGGACCCAGAGGCTGACATCTATCTTATAACAGGAACTCTCTTGGGCATGTAGTTTAACTTCACTCAGCCCAGTTTCCTTGCAAGGAAGGATGGAGACAGCATCCATCCTTTTTTTTTTTTTAAACACATAATCCTCTGAGGAGTTCTAATGTTTTATTTTTAAAAAAATATTTATTTGGCTGTGGCTTTTCTGGCTATAGGAACTTATTATCATATTTGCAGTGTCCAGATGCTGCACCTGTGAATACAGGCAGGAGCTACCTTGAGGCTACAAGATGTTCTTGGGCTGCTTACAGATGCTTTTTTATCTTCAGCCAGTGGGTAAAGAGGCTGTTTATCCTGTGGCTAAGAGCTCAAATCTAGAGACTCACGTGGCTGAGATCAAATACCAGCTCCATGACTTATAAACATGTGTAAAACACATGATCTCTTCAGATTTCTATTTCTATGTTTGTAAAATGGTGATATTACCACCTCACAGAGTTGCTGTGAGGGTTAAATATGGTGTATGGAGCACCTGGCACTTAATGCACGCTCAACACGGAAAAGCTGTATGTGACTAATGATAAAGTGCGCCTCCCTTTTTACTGGGCTTCCCCTGTGGCTCAGCTGGTAAAGAATCTGCCCGCAATGTGGGAGACCTGGGTTGGATCCCTGGGTTGGGAAGATCCCCTGGAGAAGGGAAAGGCTACCCACTCCAGTATTCTGGCCTGGAGAATTCCATGGACGGTATAGTCCATGGGGTCGCAAAGAGTCGGACATGACTGAGTGACTTTCACTTTCACTTTCCCCTTTTACTATAATGTAACCACTTTCCTAGGCTGACAAATCATCTGAGATTGTTTCTGTACTACTGTTCCTGTGGGGCTGGAGCCCCAGACCAGTAGACAGAGGCACGAGGTGCAGAAGTCTGAATCAGGTACCCTTTCTCTTTCTGGAAGTACTCAAGGCCTCCTCTCCGGCCTCAGACCGCCAAGCGCCTACCTCGACGTGGTGGGGAAGTTGAGGGATTGCGAGTTCGGGGAGTCCATGACCCTAGGGCAGCCGGGCAGCCTGGCAGCCCGCACTCGCGGCCTGGGAAGCTGTGGTAGTGTACAGTCCGTCACCATGGCGACCAGATCCCAGCAGCCCATCGGCGGGGGCGGGATCAGGATTGTGTCACGCCCCCGAATCCGGCTCCCGCGCGCCGGGAGGAAAGCCAAGCAGCAAAGGTGTACTCGGACTGGGAATAGGGATTGAGGGTCTCCTCAGAGTCAGTCATTACAGCGGATATGACCCTAGCGACCAGAGCTGAGGCTGGGGGATAAACAGAGGCCACAGGGGAGGGAGGTGAACTGAGAGACCGGAGCTGCGTTGCCAGCGGGAACTGTAGTTTTCGGTGTCTCAATGCCTCAGCTGAGCAGGCTTAAGGCCGAGCAGGTTTGTACTATATCTCCCAAAGATCCTCACCAGCCCGAGCTGGTCCGCCCCTGGAGAGCTCTGCATTATGGGGAGTGGAGTCCGAAATGTGGCGAGGCGTGGTGAGGTCCAAAGCGAATTGCAGGACTGGGACTCGGTTTCCCTGCGGCCCGGGTTGGCTTACTGGTCATTGGCTGAGCGGGGCGGATCTGGTCCTGCTCTTCCCCGCCCCCAGTGACACAATAGCAGCTCCCTCCAAGATGGCGGCGGCGACGGCGGACCCGGGAGCTGGGAGCCCGCAGGTTGGAGACTCCTCCGGCGGGGCCACTGGGTGCGGGCTGCCGTCCCCAGGGGAGCAGGAACTGAGCCGGCGCCTGCAGCGCTTGTATCCCGCGGTCAACCAGCACGAGACGCCGCTGCCGCGCTCCTGGAGCCCCAAGGACAAGTACAACTACATCGGCCTCTCCCAGGGCAACCTCCGCGTCCACTATAAAGGTATCGGCCTTCTGGCCGAGGGGAGGAAAATGCCAGAGTGTCTGCGAGGTAGCTGTGCTGCCCAGCCGGTGCTCCATCATGTCCCTTCCCCAGCTCGGGTGCTCCGGGTTGGGCCTTGGCTCCTGCAGGGTGCCTAGGGTAGTGGAGCTGACCGGGCCAGGGATTGACTGCCTTGTCTGCTCTGCCCTGAGACACCGAGTGTCAGGAGAACCACAACAGGTGTCCGAACCAGTTATGGGTTGGACCTTCTTCCCAGGGCCTTCCTGCTTGTCCTGAGGTAGCTCCAGGGACTCTAGCTGAGCCCTTTACCAATGCTGAGTTTCAAAAGTGTCTGAAGAAAGGGGTGGTCACATCCCCTCCCTCAGCCAGAGGTCCATGAGCTTGCTCACCTGCCAGACATCCCAGACAGGGCCTGAGGTTCTGCCCAAAGTCGTGGGGGCATCTTCCAGGGCTGCCTCTCCCTCCCCTACTCTTCCAAGTGGACTGCCTGTGTCCTGAAGAGTCTGCCAGCAGCAGTAGGAAATCTCTCATGAAGGCACCCACATTGCATGTACCGTCCTGTGGTTTCTGTGGTGGACAGAGTCCCAGGCAGGGCTGCTGTGCTTAGGAGGAGGTGAACCAAAGGTGGGAGGTTTATGTATTTGCTTAGTTGTTGTCTAATTATTTCTTGGACTGTGCAAGGGCTTTCTCTGGCAATGAAGGGGTAAAGTTGCCATGGAGCAGAGAGGAATGAGGCCTCCATTTGTAGTTCCCTCTGCTGAAATTTCTTCCTTGCCCTCTTCTATTAGGTCATGGCAAAAATCACAAAGATGCGGCGTCAGTGCGTGCCACCCACCCCATACCTGCTGCCTGTGGCATTTATTACTTTGAGGTGAAGATTGTCAGCAAAGGAAGAGATGGGTAAGCCTTTCCTGACCACCTTTCCCCCAACATGGAGCTGTTCCCTGTGGTCAGAGTTTGAGGTCTCCTGGTTGACACTTGTGCCTGTATGAGCTGCTGAGCTGCATGGGTCTGGGCTGCAAAGGGTTGAGTAGTGGGTACCTGTTACCCGGCTGTGGTCGTGACCTGGTCTAAGCAGTAGCTTTTGATGGCAAGTAGGTACATTTTGTAGAAGAGGGGCTTCTCTTTGGTGATGATGTAATGACTGTTTCCCTCACAAGTCAGGGAAACAAGTAACAAGTTTACATTAACAGTTCGCGTCCGGAGTCCGGAATGAAGTTCCCCTGCTGTTGTGTGGTGTTTGTCACTTCCCTCCTTTCACACTGTTGCTGTATTCAAGGTTCCTTTTTATGGCATTTAGTCATGTAGAGGCCCCTGGGGACTTCAAAGAGAGAGTAGAGTCTTTGCAGCATTCATCAAAGCTGTGTCAACCACTGGCCTGTCATCTTAGGGTAAACAGCATGGACATGGTCAGAATCAGGTGACCTTGCTACTCATAAACTTGTTTTTCAGTCCAGTGACTTGAACACCAGTTGGACCAGCTTTAGGAAGGTCCTCATTAAAGTCAGCATTGGGGAGGCTCCCTAGTTTAGGGTGATCTAAGCAGATATAGGAAATCAGAGGGGAAATTTTTCATGTATCTTCCTTTTCCTCTCCTAGTTTTCCTCTTTTTTTTCTGGTGATTATCACAAAGCAGTTGTTTAAGTTATGAAATAAAATAATTTTAGCTGTCTTGGAAAGATTTTACTCATCAAACCTTAGGTCTGGTTTGGGTGGTTTGCCAACCCCAACAGTGACCTTTGTTCCAACTCTGAATGTCTGTTCTTGAGCATTCAAAGTACTTCCTTTCTCAAGGGACAGTCCCCCTTGTGGTACATGCAAAATGCATGGCCAGGGGTCTTTGCTAGGGGCAAGACTGCCAGAGTTGGAGCTTTGCTTCCTCAGTGAAGTTGTAACATCCCTGCCTGGGAGGGCTCTGTGGTTGTGGGTAGTAACGGGGCTTCCATCTGCTTGTCTGTCCTCTGGGGAGCTAGGCCAGCATCTGACTACCTTTAATCCCAGAATTCTGTGATTCTGAAATTCTGACCATGGTGAGCTATTACATCTTTTACTTTTATCCCCATGTAGTGAATTTACAGACAGGAAGTATATATTATCAGAGCTCTTTATTTATTTGTTTTTAAATATATTTATTTATTTGGCTTTGCCAGGTCTTACTTGTGACATGTGGGACCTTAACCCCCCAACCAGGGATCGAACACAGGTCCACCTGTAGTGGGAGCATGGAATCTTGGTCACTGGACCACCAGGGAAGTCCCTATCTGAGCTCTTTAGAGACCCCAGTTCGATTCCTGGGTTGGGAAGGTCCACTGCAGAAAGGATAGGCTCCCCACTCCAGTATTCCTGGGCTTCCCTTGTGGCTCAGCTGGTAGAGAATCTGCCTGCGATGCAGAAGACCTGGGTTCAATCCCTGGGTTGGGAAGATCCCCTGGAGAAGGGAAAGGCTACCCACTCCAGTTTTCTGGCCTGAAGAATTCCATGAACTGTATAGTCCATGGGGTTGCAAAGAGTTGGACATGACTGAGAGACTTTGACTTTGAACCTTCTATTTTCCCTTTCCACCGTCTGATAAAAGCACATACATTTAATGTGCTCGAACTCACGTGAATAAGAATATCCTCTTAAGATGAAACAAACATGGCAAAAATAGTTACAGTGTAGACTGAAACGTTGGTGCTTCAGTCTTACATTGTCAGAGAAATGGATTGGCATGTCCTAACCTTGTAGGTAGGAAAGTGGATCATTTTGGATAACAGGTGAGCTAGTAAAAGGAGAGAATAGTTTTTCAGAAGGGGAGTGTTTAAATGCAGAGACCTGGTTTCCTTCACCTGGCTTTTAACCTTTCAATTATAAGTGGATCTTGCTGTAAAAGACCCCGTGTCTTGTCAGATTGTCTTGCTGTTGGTGTTGCCTGCAAATCCGCAGAAAGTTGAACATCTTCTCCCAGCTTTCCTACCATTTTTTTTTTCCTAGCATTTTTACATGTGGTAAATATAGCTGTGAAGTTGACCTGGAAACCTCAGTTTTAGAAAGGTCACAAGTCACGTATGCTTATCGTGGCCTGCTTTAGTTGACCACTTTCAGAGGAAATGTGTACGAATGTCCGCTATGGCCTCTTTATGGAATTCCTGAAAGCCTTCTTATGGCTAGGATATAGCCAGACGGGCCAGGTGTGGTTTTGAGGAGGCCAGGGGCTGTTCCAGGGCAGACAATGATCAGCTTGTTTCCTGTTTGCCGTCAGTGTTGAAGGTGTGTTTCTGACTCGGGTTTGGTCTACGACCCAGGTGTTAACCGGTTGTGTAGCTTTCCTGTATTATCTAGTTCCATCTTCACGGCATCTTTGGAAAGTGGCTGGAGCGGATGATGATGTACCTGTTTCATGGGTGAGCGCTGAGCCCCAGTGATGTTTGGTGACCTACCCTGGCCACAGGGCTTAGGGTGTGCAGTGGAGTAGCCTGACTTGTCAGGTGCCTCCACTTGATCCCAGACACGTGTGTCCACCCTCTTGCCACCTTTCCCTGTTGCATTCTTCCCTGGGGTGGAGAGAATGTCCAGTTGGAGTCTTAGGAGGTCCTAGTGTTCTTAGAGAACTGAAAGGTGCTTGGTGCTGAGTGGGGCCAGAGAAGTGTGGCATACTCTGGACTGGGCTTTGTTGACTTACCATTCTGCTGAATCTGTAGACCTGTTTTTCTGTAGATTTGGGGACAGGCCTCCTTTTTAAAGGGTGTTGATGAACCCAGTCATCAGTGTCATTGTTTTCCAGAAAGGCCTTTGTTCTGAAGATGTCTTTTGTAGAAGAATACACGAAGCATGTCTGATCCCCTTATGGCTCAGACAGTGAGGAATCTGCCTGCCATGCAGGAGACCCAGGTTTGATCGCTGGGTTGGGATTCCAGGGGTTGGGAAGATCCGCTAGAGAAGAAAATGGCAGTCCACTCCAGTATTTTTGCCTAGAGAGTTCCAGGGACAGAGGAGCCTGGCGGGCTACAGTCCACAGGGTCACAAAGAGTCAGAGGTGACTGAGCAACTATACTTTCACTTTCAAGCATGTCTAGTTAGAAAGATTTCATTTCAAGGGTTGTATTGATTCGTACCTGCTGTGTGCCAAGTGCATGCTTGGTATGAGGAGAACAACCCGAAAGCCTGCACAGGCCAGCCTGGTCCTCAGAGAGCCCTTGGCCTACCTACGAAAGGGTGGACTGGAGGGCTGTCTGCATGAGGAGGCAGAGCCTGGGCATGGTA